GGGAAAAAAAGACTCAATATTGACTACAAAGTAAGCATTTGCTATGGAAACTCGGACCACCCATTAAATGAGAAAAAAATTACCCATTTATGAGTATTTGTTAATCATAAATCAATACGTACTACTCATTTTTGTAGTTGTAAAATTTTACTCATTTACCGTATGCGTGATGATGTTTGCACCATTGATCAATCGAAATTAAAAAAAAATCTCTAAAATTTCGTTTTCGAGTTTTTTTATTTATTCAAAGGGGGGATGTTTCTCAGAGTCTTAAACTATGTTAATCATCGATCGAGTTTCCACTTGCTGCAATAACGGCCTCCACACGCTTCCGGAATGCACGGCAGGTTCTAATAATGTAGTCTGGATCCATTTCTCTCCGGGTACGGGTCAATGTTTGTCTGACGCTTGCTGTACTCGGGTGGCGTTTAGAACAGGCCTTGGCCTTCATGACGCGCCATATTGAGTAATTCAGCGGATTAAGATCGGGGTTGGATGGCGGCCACATATCCTTCGCCCAGAATAGAAGATGTTCCTGCAACCACTTCTGAGTACTGGCTGATCTTGTTGAAATACAACATTTGGCTTCGTACCGTACTGTTCTTTGATCCACGGAAGAACATACTTACTTAAAATCCCGATGTAGACCTCCGTGTTGACCTTGTCGCCTTCTGGAATGAACACCGGGTCCATTTTTTTGCCATCGGAAGCCACCAATCCAAATACCATAACGCCAGCAGGATGCTTCGTCAGATACACGGTAAACATGCTCTCGTCGGTGAACAGGATTACCGAATTTTTTCGCTTAAGGAAGTTCAAGATTTTCTTACATCGTTCGACTCGTAGCTCCCGGATGCGGTTGGTAATCATGTGAGTTTTTTTTCCGTGCCCTCGACTTCGCCCTGCAATCTTCCTTTACGATCTTCCGTGCCGTAAAGTTACTGATCCCGTGTTCCTTTGCCATTTTCCTTATTGAACGCACTGGATTCACCCGAATATTCCTTTTGATAGCAGCGATAACCCTCGGAGCCCGAGCTGACCTCGGACGACCTGTGGCCACCTTTGCGGATAGTTGTCCTTTCTTTTCTTGGTCTAAAACCCTTTTGACGGTCCACCGGGACACTCCCACGGCGATTGAAATGTCTTTTTGCGACATTTGCGCGTGGGACAAATCACGAATACGCTGCCACTTCGTCATGGTGCAACTGTCAAACTAAGTAAATCATTGTCTTTTATACACAGCCTACTACGGTATGAGCTATAGGTTACGTGCATGCAAAGAAAACCAAGACATTGTATGCCTAGGTGAAACGGGAACCTTATTTGTACGATGGTGCAAATATTATCACGCATACGGTACTTCGTAGATTGACACACACGTCTCTTTTGAAATTCTCGTTCCGATTGCTTTCAGGAATAATGCTGCGGAGTAAACATGGATTCCAATCTAAACAAGAGTACCAAAAGCATGACTGTCGCTATTCCCGGCCACGCCCATCTTTACCTAGGAAATGTTGATGTAGTACTTACTTACCGAGAGGCAACCAACTTGGCGTCATCCTCATATTTAAGTGCTACAGAGTTGGAGAATTGGGTAGCGTCCCAAGTAACCAAAAGTTCCGCATTCAACGATTAAAATCACTTTCAAGTTCCGTAAAGTTCAAATAAAGTTCCGACCGAACCTTCAAGTTCCATAAAGTTCCGACAGAACTTTCAAGTTCAATAAAGTTCAAATAAAGTTCCGATAGAACTTTCAAGTTCAATAAAGTTCAAATAAAGTTCCGACAGAACTTTCAAGTTCCATAAAGTTCAAATAAAGTTCCGACAGAACTTTCAAGTTCCATAAAGTTCAAATAAAGTTCCGACAGAACTTTCAATCCTTTTAATTTGTCGAACCTCTTAACGAAATCCCTTTATGAAGAGCTTTGAGTGGGTTGGTTTATTTCCTTTAAAATCCGTTATAATTGCTTATCTTTTGACAGATACGCGTATTTCGTCTACTACTTGCAGACTTCATCAGTGCCAAGTACTCAACCAGTACAGTGGTGTTGAGTACTTGGCACTGATGAAGTCTGCAAGTAGTAGACGAAATACGCGTATCTGTCAAAAGATAAGCAATTATAACGGAATTTAAAGGCAATAAACCAACCCACTCAAAGAACTTTCAAGTTCCATAAAGTTCAAATAAAATTCCGACAGAACTTTCAAGTTCCATAAAGTTCAAATAAAGTTCCGACAGAACTTTCAAGTTCCATAAAGTTCCAACCGAACCTTCAAGTTCCATAAAGTTCAAATAAAGTTCCGACAGAACTTTCAAGCCACATGAAGCAATCCGCACAAGTCTTTATTAGTAACAAAATTTAATGTACGTAAATATAACATAACATAAAAAAAAAATTAAAAAGTAATTTCCTGGATTCGAACCCGTGTATTCGGCATGCGATCTACTAACGCTAACCACTGCGCCACAAATGTGTTGGAATACCATGCGGGCAAATACCAATTTAAAATTCATCAAGATGTTGTGTTTCGTATGCAAGTCAGTCAGCTGGCACTGAAAACTCCAACAGTAGGCGGGACAACAGCTCACTTTAATATATTTCAGATGACGCAGCGGTTCGTGCTGGGACTCTCACGCAGAAGGACTGGGTTTAATTCTTCAAACAGCTCAAATTCTACTACTAATGCTGATCAATACACATTAATACCTGCCTTTAGAAATAACTTTCATAAAATTGCGAACTAAACATAGAATTGGTGTAGAGGACAAAAACCTTTTTTAATTTATTTTCTAAAAGTTCCGTTCAAGTTCCGCCAGAAGCTGCTTAGAATCCTCTTCAATTATGATACCGGAACTTTCAAGTCCTTATAACGACTTAAAAATGAGGCTGCTTAGAATTTTAAAGACCATCACCAACTAAGCTGCTTAAGCCACAAATGGCCTTTTATCAGAACTTTTTGTTACTTGGGGTATTAGGTCAGGATTTGCCCCAAGCTGGAGATACGACCAAAATCATATGTTGTTTATGTGTTTCTCAGCCGACTATCAAAAGAGTATACTTATTTCATTTAGTGTTTGTGCATTTTGAGGTTTCAAGAGGTAAGGAATAGTTCCAATGCGATAATGATTTAAACATTTCAACTTTTGGTTACCACGGCCCTTATGCTTTGGAAACCCGGCGATGGCAATTTATTATGTTGTTTCTGCTCAGTAAGCAAAAACGATGCCTCAAGGTCATCAAGCAACTTAAATCCACAACGCTTCATGCAAAATACTATTAGTTTTCGCTTGGCATATACTGAACGACAGATATACGTGGTTGAAGGTTAATTTTAAATATACGAATGGTACTGCGAACGATGACGAAAACAGTGAATTAATACGTTAAGTGAACATTTCTTGCAAAACCCCAAAGTATTTAACAGAAGATTCACAAAAACGTGTTTAGTTGTGTATTGATGTAATGTGATAAAAAGCCATTATCAGTGCAAGAATCTCCGTGACGCGCGGTACCTACTAATAGATCAATCTGTTCACCCCGCTGGAGATACGATAGGATATCAAATAAATGTCCCTATTTTGGCCATTTATTTGATATTCTGTCGTATCTTCAGCAAAGTGAACCGGACACCGTGGGTGCACCGAGGACACCAAGTCGATTAGACGGAAATTCGCATTTTTATCACGCTTTTTAAATTGTTAAAAACGGATTATTTGTCCAGTTTGATGTGAAATACGTAACATGTGAAATATATAGCATAGTAGGTATAATGAAACGATCTTACCATATGCCATCAACTTAGCAATTTTGTTCTGTATATAAAAATAATATTCTCCATCTAAACTTTTGTCGGATGCAAGATACTGTTACAAAATACAGCATAGCATTGCTATGTAGCTGATAAACCATGGTTTCTATTTTCTTCGAAAACACTCTCACTTGAACAAAAGCCAACTGACACATAACACATATCAACAACACCACACATAGTTTCTCGACCTCTCATAACAAACTCTTCGGCACAAATCTTCATGTTTTATGAATGATTTACGGAAAACTTTTGGAGACGTGGTGAAGCATTAAGTGCTTCGTGGAGTACTATCTGTAATGCCTTCTAAAACTTGAACTTTCCTTTAGCATGCCCTGATTATAGCACTTTTTTCTCGTTTTCACGCTGTTATTATAAGCTGATACAGATCCTCCACATTTCTGGTCTGCCATATTCTCTCTCGAGCTCCTATCAGTGATCGATATTGTCCAAAAACACCGCAGGCAAAACACGAAACAAGCACTAGTCATAAACTTTATCAATTTATAAACACCACCGCGAAACATCTTCATTTTCAAAGAATCACACAACCGAAAAAGGATTTTCATACGGATAACACGCAGAAAATCAAAAGAAATTCGTGACAGCACAAGAAACTCAACTGTTTGCGGGCAGAACCTACTTCGATCGGTTTGGAATGTTTTGTGAACCTTCAGAACGGAAAACAGCAAACTCCTTTAGTTGGTGATGAGAATTTGTGAACTTAATCAAATCGGGTGTAGGATTTCCCGTCGATTTCAGTTGGAACTGCTGCACCCAAAGGAACCCCGGCTGACTAGTTGTGTGCCTACTGCTAGCCAGAATAGGATGTTAATCAAATTCAACGAAAACCTCCTCTTGGATTATGAAAATTACGTGAAGTTCTTGGAGAAATTTTCGGCGGTCATAGAGAGAAAGATGATGATAAATGGGGAAAAAATGAGCACCGCTGCCCAATGCAAACACATATTTACGTATCCGCTTTCCAGCATACTTAATAAAGTAATATGCGACGTCCAGAAAACGTTATCAGTAAAGCGGTCAATGTATTTCGCGATACAGCAAAGATGCACTCGAACCCACCTACCCAATGTTTATGGACACATTTTACGACTCCCGAACTAATCAACGTTATCTATATAGTATCTTGCTGAGTGCCTTAAAATCTCCCATGTCGATAGAGCCACGGATCAGTTTATTTTTCAACCGGCCATCGAACGGTGCACCCAAAATGAAGACGTTGATTCTCGGTTATTTGCTTGGATCATTCCTAGCCTTCTGCGGCAGTACGGATAGTCCAATTCGTGAAATAGCTGCTGTATCAGACGAGGAACCGGTTCATGATTCCGGCATTCGCGCCATCGATACCTCGTACTTCCTGCCGCGAAACAACACCATTCCGTACAATTACTTCATCCATCTGACAACGCACGTGCACAACAATGATCCCATCTTCCAGGGAACTGCAGAGATCTACATCCAGGTCATCGAACCTACCCAGGAAATCACAATGCATCTGCAGGAGCTTGTCATTCAATCTACGGAGTTGTCTCGAATCCCTGAAAGCATGGGAGTTCCAGTAAAGGTTGACACCCCCTTATACAGCATCGATACCAGAACGGAACTTGTGACCTTCACCAGTCAAGCCCCTTTACCGGTGGGCAAGTACATCCTGAAAGTAGTCTACACCGGAACGATGAGACGCTACCAAAGTGGATACTTCATCTCTTCGTACAGAGATGACTCCGGCAAGGTTCACTACGTGGGATCATCTCACTTCCAAGCGACTCTTGCTCGGCGCGTGTTCCCATGCTTCGATGAACCGGATCTGAAGGCTACATTCACCCTCTGGATTACTCATCACGAATCGTATAATGCAGTTTCCAATACGAACGTCAACTCTATCTATGCGGACATCGAAAATCCCAATTATCGGGTAACTCAGTTCCAGACGACACCGAAGATGTCCACGTATCTGTTGGCATTCGCAGTGACGGATTTCGTTACGAAGGTTGACGGTAGGCAGCAGGTTATGGTGCGCCCTGACGGACTGGGGCAAGTCGACGAAACCTTGACAGCTGGAACGAAAATTATTGCCGCGTTGGATGCCCATACGGGTGTGGCGTATCATGACTATATGGCAAAATTAACGCATATCGCCGTACCGGATCGGGGTACCGGAGCCATGGAAAACTGGGGATTAGTCACCTACGGGTAAGTATGGCATGTGCGCATGATTAGACAAGTAACTAAAGTCATAATTCGTTTTTATCATCTAGCGAGCCGGCAGTGTTGTTTGATCCCGCAGTGAACAGCTATCGCACCCATAAACGAGTGATTACGGTCGTTGCACATGAGTTGGCTCATCAGTGGTTCGGTAATCTGGTCAGTCCAAAGTGGTGGGAATACATCTGGCTAAATGAGGGATTCGCAACGCTGTACGAGTACTATGCTACGTCGTTGGTCTATCCAGAGCTGGAATACTGGGAGCTATTCAACGTGGAGGTCATTCAACGGGCGTTCGGACCAGATGCCAGCGAGAATACCCGAGCGATGAATACTCCGGCGGCTTCGCAGGACGAGGTTCATGCCTTGTTCGACATCATCGCCTATCAGAAGGGTAAGAATCGTTTTCAGTTAACTGGAATTTGGTAATTGAAAACTTTGTTCGTTTCAGCTGGAAGTGTTCTCAACATGTTCCGAACCGTACTGGGTGACGAAAACTGGAAGGCAGCCTTGAATATATACGTTGAAGGACACAAACTAAATAGTACAACCCCAGATGATCTGTATGAAGCTCTTCAAGTAGCCATTGAAGGTAAGAATGCCATTCCGGACTCGTATAGCATTAAACAGCTTATGGAGTCGTGGACGAATGCAGCTGGATATCCAGTTCTGAACGTTCGTCGCATCTACAAAACCGGAGGAGTTGTGATTTCTCAGGAACAGTTCCTAGCAGACAAACGACTCCCGAACAGCCACGTTTGGCACATTCCCTTCAACTACGTTGACCGGAGTCCTCGCAAGGCTGTTGAGGAGCAGAACGGTTTCTATTGGCTAACCAGCAAAGCATCGATGCTTACTACCGGAACTCCAGAAAACCAATTTATCATCTTCAATCGGGATCAGTTCGGATACTACCGAGTTAACTATGACCAACGGAATTGGGAACTGATCATCGATACGTTGCTCACTAATCCGCTAGCTATTCCCAAAGCCAACCGAGCCCAACTGATTGACGACGCCTTCAATTTGGCTCGAGCGGAGTACCTGGATATGGCCGTAGCTTTGAAGCTTCTCTCGTATCTACGCTTGGAAATGGAGTACGCTCCGTGGGCCGCAGCAAACAACGTTCTAAACTACTTCCACGATAAACTCCAAGGAACCGCTCACTACGCTGGATTTGTACGCTTCGTCGACGAAATCGTCTCGGAAGTCTACAAAACTCTTCAGGTGGACACCGTTACTACCGAGGAATCTGCCATTCACAAATACCTGAAGCAGACGATCACCAGTTGGGCTTGTCGAGCTGGAAATCAGGACTGCCTGGACAAAACCTATGCCGCTTTGAAACGGGAAGTCGAAGAAAAAATCATCGTTCATCCGGATGTAGCGTCTGCGGTGTACTGCCACGGTCTCCGGGATGGATCTTACCTAGAGTTGTCGTACTTGGTCCCAAAGATGGTTGCATCGAAGAATCAAGCCCAACGAACGGAACTGATTACGGCACTGGGATGTACGAAGGATACTCAAAGCATTGTAGCGCTGCTAACTGCCATTCAGATACCGACGGTGACCTATCTGTCAACGGAGAGGACACAGCTGGTTGACGCCATTGTGGCGGGAACGGGATCGGAAGGGATAGCAATGCTTGTGCAGTACTTGATGAACGCCAACAATGCGAAGAATTTGTTGAGGTAGGTCTGATGTAGTAATTCTGAAGAGACTGTAGATAGATGATGTGTTTACCTATTTCTAGTGCGATTGGTGAAGGTTCCTTCCGCACGATGATCTTGAATATCGCTTCGCGGTCAAATAACGCAACCGAGCAACAGATGGTGAGTCAGTTGATCGCTTCCTTGAAAGACATCATCCCGATGGAAACCGGCCAAGCAGCGCAAGCCAGAATGAAGGCTAATGTTGATTGGTTTACCAGTTTGCAGGGACTGGTGGCGGTTGAATTCTACGAAAGATACGGCGATAATGAAGTTTAAGCTTCAAGTGGCAATAAATCACTTAACGGAACCGACAAAATAATTTCATCGATGGTTTAGATAACGATAACGAACGTGTTTATACTTTGCGAACGAGGCATGCCATGTCATTTGATTATCGGATTGCTTCTTAATCTGGCCTGTCTTGACCAACTGATTTATAGACGGAAAAGAGCTGAAGAGAATCACTCTTATTAGAAGAAATCGAAAGCTCCTTCAAATTTTCTTTAGGATACTGGTGAATATTCTTATACAAAAAGCTGTCACTTCCATGCATATAAGAAACTCAAGAAAAAACTTCTCCAATTCCCATGAACACATCCAAGGACAGTAACATCGAATCCATTTGAATAATGTAACGCACAAGTCGTTGCACGTGTGCGTCCTAAAACCACAAACCCATTCAAATTTCCATTATCCATCAACTCACTTCGGTTATTCGTAAAAATAACATGGGTCAATCGTTTCCGACTGGATTTTCCCATCGATTGGGGGAAAAAAATCCTTCATTCAAAATCATTGACAATGGGATTTGACCCAACCCGACGTGTTTGGTGAGAACAAAAGCTCTTCGACTTCGGCCAGTGTCCGCTCGGTCCAATTGGGAATGTGCGAAAAGCTTACTTTGGTCACTTCACGCATTTCGGGCTTTGTGTTGCGGATGGTTCTATTCAAAAAAAATAATTAGTTTTTTTGGTCAGCTATACAAACTGAATGCGAGTGCGCAGGTGTTCAAATTAAGGTTGAGTCCTCCTGATGATTCATGCGAAGCGGACTCGTTCTCCCTTTGTTGCAAAACACGATGTCCAGTACCTATAGCCCCGCAATTACGATCATTCCGAAATCCTTTTCCATCAATAAATCGAAACGTCATCCCTTATAACCTCGGGCAAGCTGACATCGGAAATTTATTAAATCTACACCCACACGCATCTCGCATATATAATAACCGGCAGTGGTCACTCAATGCGGAAACACAATCTGCTCCTCAACGGTTTGTCTGCTTCAGAGATTAGAAGAATGCATCGCAGCAACCCTTCTTGCGATGATGCCGATAAATGGCAAAAAGGGATTAATATTTCATGGCCTCCTTTTTTCGTAGGTAGGTACCCGTACCCGTTATTGTGTCGTCGTCGACAAACGCACAGTATTGTCAAATGTTGCTGAGAGATGCGTCCGACGACCAGAAGGCATATCAAATATTGAACGATATGAAACAGGAAGAAAGAAGTAATACCGAAAATACCGTAAAGGATTTTCGCCATCAGGCAAATCGCGCCAATATCCAAATCGCAGAGAACAGGAGGCAGGTGAGCTATCTGCCTACCTCTTCTATGCGTGGAATGACACCAGTTGGTACGAATTCCATTTATTTTTTGCTTTGCAAAGATCTGCATCTACTTGACCATACGGTGTCATTTCAGGATGAAAAAAAACTTGACATTTTTTCAGAATTTGATAACGCCGATCAATCTCACTGGGCGTGTATAATTACAGCTTTCATTTAGGTACATCAAGATAAAAAAAAATATTATGCTGCAAGCCTACTCTGTTCAGAGCGGATTGGTCATCTGTCATTTCGCCGTGTGTGGACAGGAGTACACTATGGTTCAGAAGAATGCAAAATCGTTCAATCATTCCGATTCCCACAGCCAGCACCTTTTTCTAATAAAGATCGTAACGCCACAAAATGACTTGGTTGCATTGTTCCGAAACAGTCCGGACCAAATTGACCCATTCCTTTCTTTTCTTGAGAAACTGTGTCAGGAGAAGAATCGCAAAAAGGTCAATCGCAAGAAAATTGATCCGTTTGTTTGACGTTGATTGTTGTTTTGTTTGGGTTGCTTTGTTGTCCTTTTTTTTGTCAGGCTTTACTATGTTTTTTTTTATGTGTCAACTCGATCCGAGGTGGCTAGTTTTTGAAGAGAATGTGATTGTGTCACAACGATTGTAATCCATAGAGATTACATTTTATTTTTTTCAATTCGTAAAGGTCGTCGTCGTCGTAGGGTGTAGAGCACAACTTTATCATATGGAGTTTATCTCCATAAGAAAACAAAAGTTAATTTTTTTAAATAACTAAAGTATGGCCATATTCAAAATCCAAAATTAAAATTGAAAATTAAATTTTATAGCTTCAAAAACAAATTTTAAACTCACATAATGATGTTTTCAAACCCGTTTACACAAAGCATAATGATATTCTAGCATTTCCACGCTTCTGATGCAAGAATTGCTCAACGCATTGATTAAATTTTGAAAGCTGTCTGGTCTACTTAAATCCGGGCACATAAAACCAGGTGTTTTTTCCAAGATCGAGCCATCTGTGCAGCGTCCTGAGTGGTCTTTCCAGATTCCTTTAACTTCCACTTGATAATTATCCAATACTTTTTGATTGGGCGGAACTGCGGACATATCCTTGTCGACGAAATCCACCTTATTGTCGCGGTACCACTGTAGCCCCTCCCGGATGTAGTGGCAGCTTGTCAAATCTGACTAGAACTTCACTGGACCCTTGTGAGCCTCTTGCTTATACAGCTTCGAGTCCATCGTTTTGTTGGTGATGAAAAGCTTGGTTTTGAGTCCGCAGCTGCCAATTCCTTGCCAGATCATCAGTTTCCAGGCGAATTTATCGGCGAAAACAAACTTGAATTTGCTGGGGACATCACCCCGTGCTGTGGTCAGATAAAACTCCCATTGTGGAAACGGAAATATTCAACTTTTTCGCGATATTTCGAATTGGGTGTTCAGGGTCAATTTGCTTTTCTCGTCTTCCATCTAGTACAAACTTTTTAATACTGCACAACGAAACATTCACAACTGAAACACGTGTACTTTCCAAACAAATCGCTGTCAAAACATTTCAAATCCGATCACTAGAGGCGCTGCTATAGAATAAATAAAGTGTCCGAATTGTAAGTGGACCAGACTTTAATAGAATTTTAATGGGTTGCTTTTGACTACGCACTGCGCTCTCATTTTAGTATAGTCACTCTTCTTCACACCGGTCTTTGTTTTCGCGGGTACCATACAAGTTGTGCCATTCCGTATCGATAGTGAACATTTTGACAACGAAACCATCTTCAGTTTCCGATTTGAACAAAACAAAATGGACAACTATTCCTCGAACTATTCCAATTTCGAAGACGATTCCACAACTGGTAAGCTTGGTCTAACCACTCTCCAGAAATGCGCAGCACCAATTCGTTAGTTGGCCTACGGAACCCCCTCAGACGCAATTGATGAATAAGGCCTTTAACCAAACATCATCTTAACTTTAACTGAACTTTAAAATATAAACTTAACTTTGCTTTAACTTCAACTTAACGTTAGCATTACTTTAACTGTTACAAGACATTTATTGACATTCTCAGAAGTTTCAAGAAGTTCCAAAAAATTATAAAAAGTTCCAAGAACATTCAATACATTCCAAAAGCTTTCAACAACTTCCAAGAAGTTCCATGAATTGAAGTTTCCCTGGAAATAAATTTAACATAACTTAAACTAAACTTTATCTTCAGTTTTACATTACTTTATCTTAACATCTTTCAAACAAATCAAACAAATATTTAACATATCTTTAACTTAACTTTAATTAAACCTTCACTAAACTTTAGCTTAACTAGGACTTATTTTTTTACTTAACTTGAGTTTATCAATAAAAATATCATTAACTTAACTTTAACTAACTTTCATTTAACTTTAACTAAACGTTGACTCAATTTTAGCTTAATTTGATTTTATTTTTAACTTATTAGCTTATCTGTAACTTTAACTAAACGTTAACTAACATTTAACTTAATTTTAACTTAACAAGAACTTCCAAGAAGTGTCAAGTTTCAAGGAGTTCCAAAAACATCCAAAAACTTTTAAAAAATCCCAAGGGGTAATCAACTCTGCACACTGTGCCAAAGAACAACGAGGCACACTGTTGGGCACGTTTAGGGCACATGTTGACGCATATGACTCAATCAATATAAAATAAAATGGCAACACTTTTGAACGCTGACTTTTTTTTTCAATCGTTCTTTATTCTTTGCCGTCATTACTACTTTGTTTACTCCAAAGTGAAGTTAGTGCTTGTGAAAAAAATCCCATGCGAAGTGGCCTCCTAATAGGACCTGGCTTACCGATGATCCCCCTTTGGAATGTGTTTATTAAGTCATAAAAAATCCTTTTATTTTTTTAGATTCTCAGATCAACTGAACCTTCAGAATACCGGTGACAACAATCTGGAAATTCGTCATTCGACCGGTTCGCAACTTGAAGCTAGTTGCCCCGATTGTTACTGAAGATATTTCAATCAATTCATGATCCTGAATAAGATCATAAGTGGTGGCAATCTACCACTAAATGGCAAAGAAGCTAGCAACAGCTCTCCGGCCGGATCATCTGTAGAGAACTGGGTGTCACCCCTATATGAAACGAGCTCGCGTACTCTTATAGAATGATGCCAAATGCAGCACCAAGCTGAATCTTATGGCAGATGGAGTAATTTTTGTCTGCGGCTGCAACATACTAAATACCGACTGCATCACCAGGTTAAGGTTTAATACCAAATAAAGTGAATGAATAAAAATAATTTTCCTCAGCCAAGTTTTGTCTTTCTGGCAAACATATCATCAGAATTAACATCGGAATTAATTTTATAGATTAAAGCAAATCTGAGAAAAAGCAAACATGCTTTAGAAACGGCGTTACCATTATTAGCGAGAGTGGAGGCGAACCAGCGTCTGGCTGAAATCCTCCCTACTAAAGAAAACTTGACTTAACTTAGCAGCGAGAGAGGACTTCAGGTGGTGCTAGTGAGGGTTACTGAGAACTGAAGATATATCATCACCACTACTGATATTGATGACGGGAGAGATACTATTGATTCCAGAACCAATGCAATAACTAATCGTTACCCCCGTCGTCGTGCTCATAAGCATCATTGTTATCGGCCACAGTGTGATGGCCTCGTCGAATTTGGGCTACTGGTCATTGAGGGTTCCAGAGTACTCTCCTGCTTCTCTTTTGTTGTTAATGAAATTTGTGTCAGATTTGGTAGCGTTCCAACAGTTCCGACATTTGCCGCTGATCTCCAATTCCGTCTTTAGCTTCAGCTGGTTATAATCCTCTTCACTAATATTTTCGGTAGTTCAACGTTCAGTTGATTTGCTGCAAGTAAGATGAAATTAGAATTAGGTTATAGATTAGATTCTGACTGAAGACCACTTCCAGAAATGAACAACTGGGTTGTCCATATAATGGATGTCATAATGGTAATAGTGTTGGCAGGAGATTTGGTGGTGCTGTTGCTGTAAAAATGATCATGCCAGCTATTGGTGATTGTGTTTCTGGGATTTTTTTCTGCTGGTTAAATCAGTAGATCAATAGACACGTTCAGTTGGTTCACTGCGAAAAGGATGGAAAGAGAATTAGCTAGTGTCTCACTTCCTACAACATCTATGAAAGACCAACCTTTTCCAGGGTAAACTGCAAACCATCAGCAAACTTGTCCACACAAACAATCACGAAAGTCATTATAAATTCAGGGTTGCCAAACTTGTGCGATGTTGACACGTTAATTTGCACACTTCGATATGATCGGCACAGTGCTTGGCACAACTTTCGGCTCAGCTAAAACGCTCGACACAGACTAAGGTGTGCAGAGTTATACCCCTCCTTGAAAAATCCAATGTATGAACCTCCAAGAGGTTTCCCTGAAGTTCTCTGGAAATAACTTTAACATAAATTTTACTATACTTTAACTTAAGGTTCAATTTACTTTTATGCTTTTTGGAAAATTTCAAAAGCAGTTTTTTTCCGACGCATTATTTCAGATTGCAAAAAGCTCGCACTATTCGATTCCTTTTGATATTTTACACAAAATGACGCGAGCTTTTTGCAATCTAAATTAATGCGTCGAAAAAAACTGCTTTTGAATTTTTAAAAAATGCATCAAAGTAAATTGAACCTTAACTTTTACTAATCTTTATCTTATTAACTTAACATAACTTTAAGTATAACTTATCTTTAAAACAATTCTAATTTAACTTTATCATAACTTTTACTTAACTCTAACATACAGACAGAGAGAGAAGGATTAGTAATTTCCATTTAATTCCACTACCTTATTTGCTTATCCTTGACAGATACGCGTATTTCGTCTACAATGTGCAGACTTCTTCAGTGTCTTGTACTAATACTCGACTTAGTACAAGGCACTAAAGTCGACTTAGTACAAGGTCTGAAGTCTAAATCTGCAAATTGTAGACGAAATCCGTGTATTTGTCAAGGATAAGCAATTAAGGTAGTGGAATTAAATGGAAATATCTAATCCTTCTCTCTCTTTATACAGGTATTATACTAAGACGCCCACATTCATCAGGATTCTAACATACAATTAACTTTAACTAAACTTTAACAAAACTTTTAACTTAACTTGATTTTATGTTTAATAAAAATTAATTTTTACTAAACTTTTACTATTTAACTTATTTAATTTAATTTAAACTAAACAATAGTTTAGCTTTAACTTAACGTTATCTTAAACTTAACATAACTTTTACTGAACTTTACCACAATTTTAATTTAACTTTATCATAACTTTTACTTAACTTTAACATATCATTAACTTTAACTAATCCTTCACTAAACTTTGACTTAGATTTAAACGAGCTTGATTTCATATTTTATAAAATTTTAGCTTTTTTTACTAAACTTTTCAACTAATTTAACTTAACTTTAAACTTAAACATTAACTTAAATGTAACTTTATTTTTAGGGATCCTATCAGGATACATCTTCGGATTCTCTGTAGTGATTAACACATCTTTAACTTAAATGTAACTAAACTTTATCTTATCCCCTTTTTTACTAGTTCGTTTATTTACAAGGCTCAGTCGTGTGTGACACTTTGCGGAGCCAAGAATCAATAATGTTTGAATTAACATTTTAAACAGCACTAGTTTTAGGTTAGTATTGATTGGGTACCAGTTACTCGTCGCGGGCGCGAGGTTAATGGGTAACAATTTCGATTGGAAGGACCAAGGTAGGAAACTGGTTTTTGAAGCCTACTTCAGATACTAGTCTCGGACGGTTGACCAAATCAATTGTCTTAACCTTCACTAAACTTTATCAAAATTTTTACTTCACTTCGACATTATTTAAACTCTATCTATCTTTAACCAAACTTTAACTAATTCAATTAACTTTTCTTCAACTTTAACTAAACTTTGTTTCTGACGTCATTTCGATTAGATGAGCCATTTTCGTGCTATGCACGGCCAATGAGAACGACCCAAATTTGAGTTCCGTTCACTCATAAATCGCAAATTTGCCTCATGGAAACATCGCTCAGTTCCTGAACTTTTGTAACGGGTCGGGAGTGTTTTAACGAAAGAGGAAAATCACGGCCTTCACTTAAGCGCCAGGTAACACTAGGTTACCGTGAAGGGGCAAGTTCTCAGAAACCGAATCCCGTTCCGGCTAGAGACCTCAGGGCAGGTTTATCAAAAATCCTACAAATGGCGGCAAGAATTGCACTGAACCCAACAAACGAATAAATTACCTACAGGGAGAAGACAAAATCATCGGTAAGCGGGGTTTCCTATGATGGTTTTCCCCACATTACCTACAGGGATCTACTAACGGAAAAAAAACTATTTGTTCCAAATGTGTCTCAAATCCAGCCTCGCACTACACAGATTCCGCGGTTTACTAAGGACATGCAGTTTAAATTAACGAATTCGTTTCAACATTTATTTATTGCTTCCTAGCTAGGGTTAGTGGGCTTCACTTACTGGATATGGCACTGTTCAATGTTGCTGGGTGATGTTCGTTGCGCGCGTTGTTGCATGTTGGTTGGTGTCTGCGATGATGGTGACAGGTAGGTGTAGCAAATACCTTTTCAACTTGCTTTTATTTGTGGGATAGCACAAGATGGCGAGACTGATGTTAGTCGATGGATGGCTCGCAGCGGGGAGCTTTTTTTCTAAATATGCCGACTTGGCGCGGTGACAACGAGGTGGCAGGGTTTTAGGCTCGTGCACGACGGGATTCGACCAGCTATGCCGACAGAGCGCTGTCGAGCGGGGTTGCACGTCGGAAGTCGACACGTGCAACACACAACTTTCCACCGAGGGTAGACGGTAGGGTTTTACGGCCTAAGGGTAGGACCTTCGTTTGAAGGATTTTCCTTCAAGCGAATTTTAGCGTGTTAGTGTTACATATTATGTGTTTTTTACTGACTGTTATTACCTGGAGTATGGTGGTACAATAAACAACGAAGGTGCTAGTATTCCTGAAGTTATATGTATATATATCGCTCTGTAATTAATATCACTGTTACTGTCCTTGTCTAACTTCACATTAAATGTTACAAACCTCCGTGTATGCTTTTTACGTCACTTTAACTGCCTGGTATGTCTCACTGTCTGACCGTTAATTTTATTCGTTAACTTATACCTTCCCTACTTGCCACCTTACTATTGATCTACTATGTCCTATGTTCACCTTGTTCACTGTCTCGTGGTTGGAAAGCTTTTCAAGAACACATCTGGAACAATCATGGCTCTACCCTCTAGGGAGCTACAATACCCGGGCATTCGTTGGTTCGGCTCGGACTCGGACGTATTTTTCCGGTGGGCTAAACAAACTACCATTTTTAATCTGTTTGACAGATCTGCCGTGAGTTACCAACCGCAACTGAACTCAGTGACCAAGAACGGTTTTTTTTAAATAAGTGATGCCAGATTATATAAAGGATAGGTGGGATACTTTTGTAACCTCGTTACACTTTTTGCGATTATGAGTAAACTTGTCAACCGATCGACGACCGCATTTACGGAAGAACAATTGACACACCTCAGCAAGGGGCTAGGATACGCGGTTACAACCAAGCCAGACGTGGAACAGATCATCATTGACGTAGAGACTGCGATTACCAAGACACTTCCAACATCATCACAGAATACGGTCACGACTATCACATCGAACATAATCAAGGACGGACAGGAACAAAGTCGCGCCAACGAAAAAAAAAATTCGGATTGTAAAGGAGCTGAAAAGTAAATCAGTATACTATGTGAAAGCAGACAAGGGCAACGCGGTCGTTATCATGAACAAGGACGACTACGACCATCAGATGACAATGAAGATTAACAACAGACCGTATAGACCTCGGTATAGACAGCTTCGAGTAGACCCCTTTCAGAACATAGTGAAACGCGTGGAGAAAGCACTGAAGGAGTGCAAATCAATATTAGGAGATGGAGCAGGCTGTTTACGGGAATCCAATCCCATTCTACCCAGGATCAAAGGTCTCCCTAAAGTCCACAAACCGGGGAATGAAATGCGAGAAATCGTGTCTGCAGTTGGTTCCCCCATCCACAAATAGAGTTCCACAGTATGCCGAATCAGTTCCAGACTAAAGCAGTTAGTAACACCCAGGAGTTCACCCAGCAACTACAATCTTCAGGAGACATCAACGAGGACTATATTATGGTATCTTTCGACGTCACAGCTCTTTTTCCCAGCATACCGGTCAAGGAAGTGATCAACCATTTGGAGTACTGGCTATTAACACAATGAGAGGATGCAGCATGGAGAAACAAGGTTCGGACGTACCTTAAGCTGACCCGCCTTTGTATGGAAGAGAACTACTTATCTTTCCGAGGTAACTTCCTAACATACATATGATTTCAAATCAAAGGTTGCAGAACACATCTTTACAGAGAACCACCAACTATCGACGGAGGACAGCACGATTTTACGAACCTTGTCTACACCATGGAAATTGGACGTTGCAGAGAGCCTCGAGATCTACAAACAACGGAATTCAACTTTACTCAACAGGGATCAAAGAAACGGACACACATGGCTTTTCAAGTTACTATCTAGGACACATAAACGAGTAAGCAGCGGAGTACCTGCTCCGACAGGAAATTAAATTTAAGTTTCCCTAGCTTCTAAGTGAAAATGTACCTGGGTTACTATAATTCGGTAAAATGCGATGTTTTTCTTCAGTCGAGTATTAGTATAAGACACTGAAGAAGTCTGCACATTCTCTCTCTCTCTTTATACAAGATGATTGCTGTTTTCTTTATGAACATCATTCCCATTTGATTTACACGGCAATCAATTCACCGTGAAGTTACACTCATAATAAGGGCCGACAATTATGATTTTTAAAACATTTATTGATATTAATCTACCTGCGAATTGAATTTACAAATCGATATAACTGATATCGATAGAACTGATTGAAACATAGGTTTGTTTTTATTTTGAATAGATGAAAACCTATTGATAACATTTTTCGATTTTGAATCTTGATATCAACCAATAGATTTCAAAACATTCAGATTACTAAATTTGATATCATGATATCAAAATAATAACTAATTTAGCTTTTACTTTTTGTTTGCCTACCATAGCTATAATAACATATTGATTACTTATTTTGTTTATTATTAACGAAATTACTGATATCAAAACGCATACATTGATTTGTTATCAAGAAAACATGATTTGTTATACTTTTAATATCAAATATCAAAATTAGTTTTCATTTTGTTTTCATTCTATATTATAAATTCTATGGTTGATAACAAAAGTATACTCTATCAATCAATTTTACAAAACAATAAAACGTATATCCATTGTATGAGATGCATTTATACATTTCAGATCAACATTTACAACGAAAATTCCTCCACATATTCTTCAATAAAAGAACGAAACTCACGCATATAGTAAAGACTATACCCTCGGAATCCAACCATTGTGCCAGGACTCAATCGACGAGCCAAGTTTTTCAGCACTTCCCTCTGCTCTACGCTGCCTGCCAAGAAATCCATTCCTATTAGTAGAGTATTGACCTGCAACGTACCTAAGCGTTTCGACAACTGTGGATCATTTTCCAGCAGCGAAACTAATCTTTCCAATTGACCTTCGACTTGCGGTTTTCGCAACAATGAAGCAAATTTTTCAAACGCAAACTGCAACTGTCCAGCGTCGTGGGCATTTTTATCGTACAAGCTAACCAGAACCTGCCTAAGATGGCCAGTGTTGCCAGCGCAGGTAAACGCATTGATGAGCAGATCTTCCTCCCGTTCATTACTGGTCCGGAGATATTTACTGATCAACCAGTTGAGTTCTTCGTCACCGGAATTGTGGAGTCCGAAACAGTAGACGACCGTCAACCAGTCCGGCTGAATGGAGGAGTTGGAATTAATCAAGTGGTGCAGTTTCTCTTTGGCATGTTGATGGCAGAGTTCGTTCCCTGTCCAACAGACAAGTTTTGCAACTTCCGATTGCACGTAATGTTCCAGCTGAGCCGTATGGGCGGGACCATCGTCGGAAGAGACTGTTTGGTAAAATAGTTCGGAAAGGTGCTTTGCGAATGCCTGGAATTAGATGGATTGATTATGTTTTCTTTTAGATTAACGCATCGAAACGTACCTTGAACAGAGTTTCGGAGCCAGTCATAGTGTGTAGGAAATTGAGAATGGAGATCGTCTTGTACCATGGAAGGCAGTCGGTTTCATTCCGCATGTAGGTTAGTAGTTCGAGAAATATTCTTGGGTTTAGCTTTCTAACTTTATAGAGATTGTAGGCATCGTCCAGAAGCTGAACACGATTCAGTGGATTAATGCTGGAAATGTTGGTCCGAAGTGCTTTGATGATCAGCCGCCAGTTGCGTTCGTCGTAGTTGACTCGATAAAACCCAAACTGCCGTTTGTTGAAGATCATCCACTGGTCGTCCGAAACGTTGGTTGCTAAGATCTCTTGAGACGAAATAAGCCATTGTATCGGTTCGATGCGATCAAAATGTGCCGGGTCATGCGCATAGTTGTATGGAATAATCCGTACTGAGGGTTTGTAGTTATGAACGGTAGCCTGTGAAATCTTTATCTGACCCTGTGAGTAGTTTCGATGGACGTTCAGCACAACTTCTCCGGACGAGGAAAACCACGAATCGAAGATCTGTTTCAAAGTTGTGTCTCGAGGCATATTCAATTCGTTATTCGCAACCGCTTCAATTTCGCGATACAGGTCTTCAGGAACTGTAGATTCAAACTTATGGTTTTCCAAGTAGTTTCTCATTGCCATTTGCCATTTCTGATTACCTATGACCAATCGTATCATGTTCAAAACGCTGCCGCTGATCACATACATCGATTGTGGGTAATAGTACTGAAGATATGGAACATTCGATTCGTCCTTGAACAACGGTCCTGCTCTGCCACTGATTATCAATGCAGTTTGTAAGGACTCCACATTGTATAGATCCATGTACCGTTCCTCGGGGTACGCTAGGTGTAGTACATAATACTGATACAATGTTGCCATTCCTTCCTTCATCCAGACGTGATTCCACCAGGAAACGCTAACCAAATTGCCGAACCACTGATGGGCCAGTTCGTGAGCAACTATCTGAAAGCTAGCTGATCGTCGTTCAAATCCATCCATAGCGGAATTGTACGCAATGAACTTTTCCTGGTAGCTTATCAGCCCCCAGAACTCTGTCGCCTTTCCGAAATCTCTCTCAACCGGCAGGAATACGTGGGTGATGTTGGGAATGAAATTCGTGTACGGAATTCCGGTATATTCGTTCAATACACGTACTGCATCGTTTCCGAGTTGTAGAACGTAATCAGCGTCCTCGAAGAATTCCGTTCGTGCGGATATGGCCGTGTCACCTTCGCTGCGAACTGTGAAATCCGAAACGAGGAACACCAGTAGATAAGTGGACATCTTAGGGGTTTGTTTGAAGCGCGAAACTACGAACTTTTGGTTGTCCGGTGAGTACGTTACGGGGGCTCCAATCAAAGGCATATTGGACATCGCGTTGAGGTCTCGGTGGTGGATGATTGAAACGTTGAACGTAGCTTTGAGCGCAGGCTCGTCAAAACAAGGAAACACCGTTCTTGCATTGTGCGGTTCAAATTGAGTAGATAGGAAATGTTTTTGAATTCCATCTGGCTCTTTGTATGCTATTATGTACATTCCCTCGGATGTTTTTGACGTGATTCCATGGAATTCAATCATTAATAGATAGCTGCCAGTTTGCAATTGCCAGTGACTCGTCATAATCAGTAGTTTGTTCTCGGTGTCAGTATTAACGGATAAACTCTGCTGAAGTGCACTCTTGTCGAGATCAACTAAACTTGCAGAAGCGATAGTCAGTTCCGAACCATGAAGCACAATTTCACTGATTGGCTTCAGAACGTCGATCACAATGTCCACATTACCACGATAGCTTTCGTTTCCCGTATGAACATCCAAGCTCAGCTCGATGCTGTAATGCTTCGGAATCACGTTGGTTGGGAGTCGTTTGTGGTACTCGCCATTGGCTGCAACCACTAGAGATAGAACTATTACCATGAGCGAGATCATCGCTATTAGAATACTATAACTTAACTGATGCAATCTTTCTAGATTCGATTGCTTACCCACTCGAGAGGCTGTCATTTATGTTTATAAACGGTATTTCCCTGTATAGGAAAATAGAAGTAACTACTCTTATCGAAGCCGGTTTAGTCGACCTTAACGGAATCTCTCGCGCGAAGTGCAAGTGCAACCAGCAAATAAATATCATCAGATGGGCAGGGGATCCACCATGCACCGGGTTTCAGCAAGGTGTAAAATGCATTTTTTATGAGGAATTCTCTCGTAACATGGTAAAAGGGCATATCTTTGTTAATCGGTTCTCTTCATCGACTTTCGCTTACTCAAACTTGGCAATGTATGTACACAATGTTCTGGTTGTGCTTGAACTCAGCTCAACAGGCTGTTTTCAACATTCGTCTGAAACAACGAACTCAACAGAACATGCTTTTGCAGCAGAATTATTTAACATTTTTATTTGACAACGGGAGCAAAGGTCTACTTAAATGCCAGAAGGCGTCGTGAGCACATCATAGTTTAGAGGACTTAGAGTCTGGGCAGCTGTATGACCTAGATATTTAATAAAATAACACGATAGCTTAGTCAGTAATGGCACGGCATTACCAAGAAGATCTTTCGGGTTGGATATTTTTTCGACCTCATTATGCTTGCCACCTAACGTACAAATTCACTCATTGGTTGACATAGAACGCCTTCAATTAATATACTATGGTAGTGCTTCAATAACACTATGTTAAGAGCAGGCGAAAGCTCCTGTAAGAGCGTCAAAGCCTGGAAGAAGAAGCAGAACGTTCACAATATTCCACAGCATAAAATTAAATGTCTTGTGAAGATCTACGACTAGAACCACAGTATCTGGCAAGATTGTTTTTTGTGAATGATAGTCATACACAGCAAACAAATCTAAGAACGGAAATCTCCGCAATACAATCGATGGCTGGTATATTTATAGTCTTGTGAACAATGTTTCGCTGACAAAATCCCACCAAAATTATTGAATAATGGTACATTATTACATGTATTCAACGGAACCCGGTTTAAAAAATGACTCACGAAAATGCATTCGATTTAATTTCTGTTTTAAATTCAATGCAAATCACCCAAAATGACACAAAGGAAAATATAGCACAGGTAAAGAGACAATATTACTGGTTAATAACGATCTTGGTTTACTCTTAGCAGACTCGTAAATGGTGTCTTAGTGGTCTGCTGCTTCGAATGTGGCATTTTAGTTGTCATACTCAGATATATCACGATACGTGCTCAGTTTTGTAAAATTTAACAAAAACGAACTCGTTAAATCATTCCAGTGAGACCCAAGTTGAATGGGAGGATGGAAACAACTTGGTGATTTTCCTAACACAGACATCAATATCAAGTACCTTCAAGCTGTCTAATGATAAAAAACAGTTGCCACCCACCATACTTGTACATCGGCTTGATGTACAATTACACCGAATATGTTATACAGAGTGTCTACTCATATTGCTGAATAAAATTCCTTGTGATTTCCAAGTTTTTCCAGGACTTTGACTTCATAGTTTGAATAATCATAATTTTGATTTTTGTTTATGATTTTAAAAAGCTTTTTTTTTGACAAAAATGTTGCTATTTTCAGAGGTATCATTTTACAACAAAGAACCTACTGATGAATTATGTTTTTCCAAGTGTAATTAATTTGCTATGACAACATTTTATGTTAATAACAATACATGTGCATAGGGAACTGCAAAATCACGAATGAACTGGCAATATTTCAAACGAAGAGATTTCTAGTTCCAGGAGTCAAACATTTGTTTTGCTAGTGTCGATTTATCGCTTTACTGCTAAGCCTAAGATAACAAAAATTTGGAAAATTTATAAGTTTATAAAAAATATCTAGGTTCAAAATTAAAGAAAAATCCAGGTGCGGACACTTGATTTATTTAAAATTTGCAATTTTAAAAACATTTCAATGCATAGCATTTAGTATATTTATCTTATTTTTGAATCTTTGCTCCAGATTGAAGATTGAAAATTATTCTTAATCCATCAGAATCGAGTTTAGATATCAAATTAAAAAAAATCCAAGTCTCAGAATTTGGATTTTTTTAATATTACATCTTGATTTTTCATCTGTGATCTCGAAAAAAAAAATCTATGTTTATATCATCTTGATGCCATTGGATCTCTACACAGAATTTCGTTAGATCTTCTCCAGAATGCTCCACAGAATCTCCTCCGGAAGGCTTTTTGATTCACTCTGCGATTCTCTTAAAATGTTGAGCTTGGCCTGTGGCTGATCGGTGATGAGCGTGCCAGTCGGGAGAAATCTCGCGTCACTTTTCAAGTAGACCAATGTAACATGTTCCTTATTTTGAGAAAATCGAAGTTGAAGTTCGACAGATTATTATTTTAACTGTGCAATGCAATGCATTTTGCAATACTATTTTTAATATCAGTAAATAATAACGTTGAAAATTCAATAGAAACGGTTATATCACATAATTTTACAATAATACAATATAGAAAAACAAACACATAGGACGTTTTGACTAGTCAAGTTGTACATCGGACATGTTACATTGGGCGATTTTTCTCAATGACATAATCAATGAGTGTTACATTGGACGTTTTGTTCTAAATGATACTAGATTCCCTTTCACAGATTTCAAAGGAGAGTACCTAATTTTAGATTGGCCCCGCCTTTAGAAAATGAGCACAAATCATGTTAGGCAGTCCGAATGACCGAAGTAACAATCATGTACCCATAATTTCAAACAGACAATTTTTGGCCTATGACTATCTTAAATAAATGAAAGTAAATTTGGATGGATGTTTTTGTATCACATACAATGATAGAGAGCAATAGTTTGTATCGCTTAACTCGATTTGTTTACATTTGTTACTTAGGACCTTTTGAAAAGTGATGCGAGAAATTAAGTTATAGGTATGGATGAGAAGTTTATCATACATGATTGTGCGGCTGGAGTCGAACGAAAAAAATATCAATCCTTTAAATTTGTCAAACCTCTTAACGGAATCCGTTTATGAAGAGCTTTGAGTGGATTGGTTTGTTTCCTTTAAATTCCGTTATAATTGCTTATCTTTTGACAATTACGCGTATTCCGTCTACTACTTGCAGACTTCATCAGTGCCATGTACTCAGTGGTGTTGAGTACTTGGCACTGATGAAATCTGCGAGTAGTAGACGAAATACGCGTATCTGTCAAAAGATTTAAAGGAAATAAACCAACACACTCAAAGCTCTTCAGAAAAAAAAAATATGGTTTTCATGTCACTTTGTGAGGGTGGGGTTTCACAACAATCGGAGTGAGGTGAAGATTTGTCAGTGCTGTTTGGGGGGAGCCGATCTGATTGATCGGTGGTGTGCTGTGTACTGGAAAATGTGTGCGTGCCGAGAGTAAATGGAGCGATATGGAAGAAAGGTTTGTTCTGAGGTTGCCGTGCAGTTGTGGATTTCGTTGGAGGAAAATATGCGGAAATACGCTCCCGGACAGTAAAGGGTGATACGGTCAAAATTTGGTCAATATCAACTTGACGTATTTCTTTCAATTTTGCATTTAAAAAACCTGAACACCCCTCATTTTGAAGGTGTGTGTGTGTAGAATGTTGCTCCTATTTTGATCTTGGAATTCACTCTTCAGTTGTCAAAATGCCGTCCAAGCAAGAAGAGCAGCGTATCAAAATTTTGTCGCGCATCGCGAAAATCCGAGCTACTCGCACGCAAAGTTGGCAAAATCGCTAAAAGTTGCCAAATCAACCGTTACAAATGTAATTAAAGTGTTTGGGGAACGTTTGTCGACAGCCAGGAAGTCTGGATCGGGAGGAAATCGAAAACCGGAAGCCGCAAATAAGCTGGGTGTATCGTCTACAACCGTGCATCGAGCCAAAAAACGAGCCGGACTATCGACTTACAAGAAGGTAGTGACTCCAAATCGCGATGATAAACAAAATACGACGGCCAAAGCGCGATCCCGGAGGCTGTACACGACGATGCTGACGAAGTTTGACTGCGTGGTAATGGACGACGAAACCTACGTCAAAGCCGACTACAAGCAGCTTCCGGGACAGGAGTTTTATACGGCAAAAGAAAGGGGAAAGGTAGCAGATGTTTTCAAGCACATGAAACTGTCAAAGTTCGCAAAGAAATATCTGGTTTGGCAAGCCATCTGTACCTGTGGCTTGAAAAGCAGCATTTTCATAGCTTCCGGGACTGTCAACCAAGAAATTTACGTGAAAGAGTGTTTGAATAAACGTCTGCTGCCTTTCCTGAAGAAACACGGTTGTTCCGTACTGTTTTGGCCGGATTTGGCATCTTGCCATTACGGTAAAAAGGCCATGGAGTGGTACGCCGCCAACAACGTGCAGGTGGTTCCCAAGGACAAGAACCCTCCCAACACGCCAGAGCTCCGCCCAATTGAGAAATACTGGGCTATTGTCAAGCGGAACCTAAAGAAGACCAAAAAAAACTGCTAAGGGCGAGCAGCAGTTCAAGGCAAACTGGCTTTCTGCGGCGAAGAAGGTGGACAAGGTGGCTGTACAAAATCTGATGGCAGGGGTCAAGCGTAAGGCCCGGCAATTCGGATTTGGAAAAGCGGAAGCCTAACTGAATATTTTTCCTGAATTTTATACTAATTGAACTTGAAAAAGAAATTTAATTTGATTTTTTAAATAAACGATTTCACCGATTTACACGCGTTTTCCCTTGACCAAATTTTGACCGTATCACCCTTTATGGTGTCGGGATACATACATATATTGATTTGGTGAGTGTGTTCCAGTTGAGGTTTGTATTATGATTTTCGTTTGCTTCCCGGCGCGTTTGATCGGTTTGCAAGATCTGATATGTGTGATGTCGTGATCGCCGCCATCGAACATTAATCCCAAAAATGCATGATCACTAAACAAAATGAATATTTTCTTTTGATAGTCGGATATCAAGAGATTCAATGAGCAACACATAAACAATGTATCAAGAACAACATGTGAAAAGGGCACACAAGCTTTTTATAAACAAACCTTCTTATGCTCTTTTCTCGCCTCCCATATAATACCAACGCAAACCATCAACATCATCGGGTAGGGGAAACTTTCTCGTTCCCCATGATGTTGTTGGTTTGTGTGAGCGACCACCGGTTGGCGAGAAAACCGCCTTCAAAGGTTTGTTTACAAAAAGCTTGTATGTCCTTTCCACATGTGGCTCTTGATACAGTTTTGGTTGCATCGCCAACTTGAGGCGAATCATAACCTAATAACCTACCCAACCCTCCAACTCCGTAGCAGTTATGGGGGTGTCGCTAAGTCGGTAGCCTCTTGTTAAGTAAGTACTACATCAACATCTTCTTCCCTATCCCTAGTTATGGTAAAGATGGGCGTGGCCAGGAATAGCGACAGTCATGCTTTTTTTGCAATTGAAAGTTTCAAACCCTATTCTACCTAGGAATAAAGGTCTACCAAAGATTCACAAACCAGGAAACGAAATGAGAGAGATTATCTCGGCTGAAGGATCCCCCACTCATAAGCTTGCCAAATGGCTAGTAAAGGAATTTCAAAATATGCCTAAACCCTCTACCACTCGCTCAGTTAACAGCACACAGGAATTCGCAAATCAACATCAGGCATCAGGAGAGATTCGGGAAGATGAAGTCATAGTTTCATTTGATGTCACAGCACTTTTTCCGAGTGTACCAGTAAAGGAAGCCATCAGCCTTTTAGAGGACTGGCTTCTGAAGCAACGTGAGGATTCTACTTGGAAAAACAAAGTTCGGTCATATCTCAAGCTTACTCGTCTTTGTATGGAGGAAAATTATTTCATTTTCAGAGGAAATTTTTATAAACAAACTAAAGGCGCTCCTATGGGCAATCCCGCTTTCTCCATTGTTATGTGAATTGTTCATGGCTAACCTAGAAAATACTCTGGAGGATAGGAATTTGTTGCCCAAGTGCTAGTATAGGTACGTGGATGACGTGGGAAGATTTATCAAAAACTTTGGAGGCCATAAACAACGTTCACAAGGACATCAAATTTCAACGGCGCCGGTGGTGTAGTGGTAAGCGTGATTACCTCTCACCTTAGCAGGCCTGGGTTAAATCCCAGTCGGCGCCGCCAGGATGTTCTGAGGCATAACATCTCTGATCACGCCTTCCTTCGGATGGGAAGTAAAGCCGTTGGTCCCCGGTTCATGAGTTGATGGGTCGATAGGTAGGGTCCAGGTGTGGGAGCTGCCTTCCTGGCACGTCGGTAGCATTGGTGCTCAGCACGGAAAACAAGATCGACGGAAAAAACAAACTAAAGGACATCAAATTTACTCACGAAGAAGAGAGAGACGGCAAACTCCTTTTCTTAGATCTTCTCATCATCAGGGAAACGTCTTCGTTCAATTTCGAAATCTATAGGAAACCAACAAATACAAAGAGATTAATACCAAGCACTTCAAACCATTCCCATCGACACAAAATGGCCACTTTTCACCACATGGTTCACAGGATGCAAATTCTTCCTCTTAGCGATACAGGCAAACCATAGGAAATAGCTCACATTTTTTAAATCGCTAAACTTAATGGGTATCAAGAAAAAACAATTCAAGCAGTAATAGATAAAAGAACAAGGGATCATTTTAGGCGTACTTCGACAACTCTTACACCAGTAACTAAGGGTTTTAAACGGGTAGCAGTGAATGTCGACAAAAACATTACCAAACCATAGATTTCGAAGTTTAGAAGTTTTGGCCTACATTTAGTATTCAGCAGCAGGACAAATCAGCTGAAGTCACTGTTAGGATCAACAAAAGGTTCAATAAAAGTCTTATGGAAAGCCGGAGTCTACAAAATTTCTTGTCCAGATTGCAATAAAATCTACATTGGTTAGACGAAAAGGACTATGAATTTAAATCCAAGGTTGCAGAACATATCGTTACAAAGGGGCACAATTTGGCAAAGGATAACATTAATATCCTGCGAAGTGGGAACTAGACGTAGTTGAAAGTTTAGAAATATTTAAACATAATCCATCAACATTGCGAGATCAAGGAAACGGATACTCGAGACTCTTTAGCATGCTACCTAAAACCACACATCGTAGCATGCATCTATCTGTTGGAGACTGAAATAGACGAAATACGCGTATCTGTCAAAAGATAAGCAATTATAACGGAATTTAAAGGAAATAAACCAACACACTCAAAGCTCTTCCTAATGCAATAGTTGAAGATGCTAATTTCAAATAACAGACTAAAGTGGTAATTTTTATACGATTGATGAGGAGATGAGAGTACAGAGTTGATAGTTCCGTTAGAGTACGGCAGTGTGAAAATTGTATATAGAGAGTAGAAAGCGAGCAAGGACAACTTTTTAGGAAGGTACAAATCGGTTTGATCATCTCTCTTCCCTAATATAAAAATACCATACCCGAATAATATCACAAATAATAGAACTATTTCACAAATGGTATGGATGATACACTGAACACGTCGTTAAGCAAAATAACCATACACATTTTATTAGGGTTAACCAAACTCCCCAGTTGGAGAGGGATGGTGAGGGGTATTCCCCCCCGCCACCACTGGCAAAAAGAGATGATCGTCGACTCGCTCATGTACCGACGATGTGTTTGAAACAGTTCTATCGATTTTACCGCACTCAAGTTGTTATTTGAAATAAGACATCCAGTCGTAGGTTAGGAAATTGCAGCTAATTGTTACCTCTACCACGGTATGTGCTCCTGTCATCGTCGACTTGACGATCTCGAGGGAACACGGGTAGGGTAGGTGCTGGTACTGTGACTTTCGACCAATGACAGTAATTGATGGTAAGCTTCCATCCAGAGTTATGTACTTTGACTATATGTTTTGTATTACTTCTGCGTCAAGTCACCGATTTACATAGTTGAAGATGCGAATTTCAAATAACTAATGCAATGTTCAGCTTGAATAGTCTTCGTCAGTTATGAGCCTTTCCACGCATTTTCACACCAGATCAAATCCTCTGTATATATGGGATCGACTGGCATGAGCCATGAGATCGTAGGCAAAGTATATCGAGTCACTCGCAACCCAGAAATAGAGTACAAGACAGAGTACTCTTCCTTCGCCAACCAACCCCTCTCCCCCTCCTTTTCTCCATAGCAACAGCAGCAACTCAATGGCAGTTAGTTTGTTTATCGCCGAAGCAAACGGTCCATCATCTGTACGGCCAGACTCCATGCACCGCGCACGATCGCTCACCCCGTGGCACCGTTCGCCCACAGGCTGGAAAAGGGTGTAGTGAGTTTTATACAAATTGAATCATAGTCTATCCCGACGTTATCAATTCCATAGGTACTCTTCTTTGAGTTCTCTAAAAATGATAACAAAAATAGCCTTGAAACTCTCCTAAATTAACCTCAAAACTTCATTGGAAATTTCCTTAGAATTCCTTTGGAATTAACCTCAGAATTTTTATAGAATTTGATTCAGAATTCCCTTTGGATTCTCCTTATTCTCTTGGCATTCTACTCATAAGTACTATGAAGTTCTCAGAACTATCTTGGAATTCTCCTTACGTTTCACCTGGAATCTCGAGATCAACAGAACAACACTAACCTGAAAGGAATCGTCAGATTTCACTTCAAGTTTTCCTAACGATTCTTCCATTGTATTCTCCTCTGAGTTCCCTTGAAATTGTCTCTAGAAGTTTCTGGAAACTCACATCAAATTCATCCATAAGCTGTGAAAGTTTTGTAGGGCCCTTATTTTTTTTTAAATTTGGGTTCTTGGAAAATATTCAGTGTCCGACGTCTTGAATATTTATTTTCGTTCGAGATTCTTGAACATTTGCAATACTGCCGTTATACGCATAACTGTCCCATGTTCTACGCAATCCTCATGCACCGTGGTACTCTTATGCGTATAACGGCAGTATACTCTTACCTCAATTTTATTAAACAAATTCGCAATTGTACACTAATTTTGAGCACTATACAACAACTATACAAGTGTGACCATGGATGTGCACATAATTAAATGGTCATTAGAGTTGATTGAAAATTCTATCTAATATGAAGCTTTAGCGTGATAATTTATTAGCTAGAGAATGGTCTTAGAAGAAGGTAGGTAGATAGTTCCGTTAGAGTACAGCAGTATGAAAATTGAATAGAAGTTGAAAATGAGCGAAGGACCATTAATGCGACTGTACAAAGTCAAACGCAACCCGTACGATGTACGCGGAGATTTGACAGGCAGCTTTAGGTAGTAGGTTAACCGCAATAAACTGCATGTTCTGTATTCCGAATTTAATTGGACCGGATCTCTTGCTTCAGTTTCCAGAACATCGTGTAGGGGGCTCATAGCTTAGTCAGTAAAGACACAGTATTACCAAGCCGGAGGCGGCGGGTTCGAGGGAATCTATCGGGTTGGAAATTTTCTCGACTTCCCTGGGCATAGAGTATCATTGTGCTTGCCACACAATATACAAATTCATGCATTGATATTGGCATCGAAAACTCTCAATTATAATTGTGGAAGTGCATTTAGTAGAACACTAAGTTGAGAGCACCCAATAAGCTAATATACACTAAGCAATCAGCTTGAAATACGCCAATTTTCGTTTTTTTTTGGCAAATTCATGAACGGCAGTGAAACTTCCTTCCAAATCATTTAAGTAATCTGCATTCTGTTAATAATCTTCTTTAGATTTTAGGTAGTTTATCAACGACTGTGGAGATTTTTTAGCTAATAGTACAGCCAGTGATCTCAACTCCAGCAGTCATTCTGAACTTGGATCCAGTACCAAGTGGAGAAGTGTCATGCATCTGATTAAGACACCATTTCTGCGTGCAGAAGGCAGTTATTTACTATGTTTAAGCTAAATTACTAAATGCTTTCAAAAACTTACGTCATCTGAGGCTTTCTTTCCCTTCTATCCATCCGGCCTTCAATTGCATAGCTTCTTCACACTTCCTTTATTTTCAAAACACTGTCTGCATCTTCGTCGCCCGCCCTACTTATGCTTGATCACGTGCGCCAGATCGTACTTGCCGCGGACACATTTGATCTTGACACCGGGCAAATCCTGCATACGTCCCACCCGAACAAGGACGATGTTGTGTTCCTGTAGATTGTGGCCGATTCCGGGGATGTACGCCACCAGTTCCTTACCGGTGCTGAGCCGCACCAGTACACACTTTCGATTGGCCGAATTAGGCTTCTTCGGTTTCTTGATCAGTGTTTTGAGGATGACTCCTTTGGCAAACGGTTTTCCATCCAGCGGTTGCCTCGGGGGACGTTCCTTGATGTGAGGCCCAGTGCGATGCATTTGATTTAGTGTGGCCATCGTACCACGCTGCAGGAACGATGAGAATGCTGCAAGGAGAGAGAAAAAGGCTCGTGTTAGAAAATATGCCGGGCGGTTGCAATTGCCATAATGTTGATGATTGAACGCAGATTTGGTTCGGGACGAGTTCTAATGGAAGCTTACGAGCATTCTGCAATTACTTTCATAAACGAGTGAGTAAGAGTGGGTGTGATCGACAGTGTGGCTTGATCGAGGCCCATGTTGAAAAATTGGCAGCCAACCCCTCCTTAATGAACGGGGCATTTTTGCAGTGTTGGGTAGAAGGGATTGTTTTTCATCACAATACCTGTTTATTAAGGACAAGGTTGATAGAATCCAATAATGGCCGCTGTCATGTCTGATTTGCCGTGTAAAATCAGCGGCCATTTGTGGCTTCTATCAATCTTGTCCTCAACCATTTCCGGTTAGATCTTGGATTGATTCAGGTTGGGAATTCCCACGACTTTCGTGGAAATAGGGTATTATTGTGTTTGACAAGCTTGTGCTTATAATGTTCTCTGTAAATATCTGGAACCGCCGAAAATTGGAGGTAAGAGTAAACATAACACCGCTGTGAATAAACAAAACCACGAACTCCAATTGATGGATCCCCGAATAAACCATCTAGACGAGATAAAACCCATTCAAACAAACAAATGCACCTTGTCAGTCAGTCATCTGTCCATGCTCCCAGTCGAACGATAACGTATTATCTCATATGTGATACTGGCCCAACAATAGAACGTCAGCCGGTGCCTATTTTAAATAACCGAATATCACAGCTTAAAATTTAGTACCATTCGAATGGTAAAAAGTAGAGGATGGTCCTCTGGAAAATTTCATTGCTGTTGGTAGTGGGAGCAGTCATCGCCGTTACGGTTGCCGAACGGCGATTTCCAATTGGAAAAATAGCAGCTTCGGAACAATCCGTTCCGGATACTGTATCGCGTGTTGAAGAAGACAATGATTTTCGTCTTCCAAAGGAAACCGTACCATCTCATTACGCAATCCGGCTGAGCACTACAGTTCACGAAGGAGCTACCGACTTCCAGGGGAGTGTTGATATCCACTTCAACGTCGTAGAATCCACAGACAAGATCACCGTCAATAACCGCGACTTAAGAATCGTATCGGCAACTCTCTATCGCGTTGAGGATGAAGAATTGGTCGAAATTGATCAACCGTCCGATAGCTCTGATGAACGAACGGAACAGCTGACCTTCCAATGTTCGGCAGCTCTCGAAGTCGGAAGCTATGTCTTGACCGTAGACTATACTGGAAAGCTCCAAACATCTACTGCTGCTGGATTCTTCCGAAGGTATTATTTCGACGAGAACAACAATCGCCGATACCTTGCAACGACCCAGTTCGAACCGACTAGAGCCCGCATGGCTTTCCCGTGTTACGATGAACCGACCCTGAAGGCAACCTTCACCGTATCGATAACTCACCATTCGAGCTACAGCGCAGTTTCCAACATGCCTCAGGATGGCCCCATTATCGTAAACACGCAGGATCCTAGCTTTGTAACGACCAATTTCCTCAAAACGAACAAGATGTCCACCTATTTGCTAGCATTTGTGGTGTCCGACTTCGAAACTAGAATCTTGGGACGTCAGCTGATTCATGCCAGGCCAAACGCTATCGACGAAACCGAATTCGGTCTCGTGGCTGGAGTTAAGATCCTAGACAAGTTGAGTGAGTACACCGGTATTTCGTACTATGATTACAAACCGAAGTTGGCACAGATTGCCATTCCGGACAGGGGCAATGGAGCCATGGAAAATTGGGGGTTGGTTACCTATGGGTAAGTACGCAGGAGGGACTAGTCTTCGTTCGTAAGAAAACAATTTACATTCATTACAGTGAACCAGCACTCCTGTTCAACCCGAATGTCAATACCTACCGTACAAAGACCAACGTCGCAACGACAGTGTCCCACGAATACGCCCACCAGTGGTTTGGAAACCTGGTCACCACCGATTGGTGGAAATACATATGGCTAAATGAAGGCTTCGCTACCCTCTACGGCTACTACGGAGCTCATCTGGCCTATCCTAATGAAGAATACATGGATCTATACCAGTTGCAAACCGTACAAGCAGCTCTATCACAAGACTCCAGTGATACCACGCGACCAATGAACTGGAACGCAAACACCCCTACGGAGATTTCTGCACTGTTCGACAATATCGCTTATGCCAAATGTAAGTATCCGCTCCACTCAACCACAAAGATAACTGAACTAAGACATACCTCCTCCCATCAGCTGGCAGTGTGCTGAACATGTTCCGCATTGTCTTCGGAGACGAAGACTGGCGAAAGGGCTTGAATACTTATCTGCTGAACCGACAGCTGGCTGCCGCAACCGACGAAGATCTGTACGAAGCTCTCCAAAGTGCTGTTTCCGGTAAACGTACCATTCCGGACACGATGACAGTGAAGCAGATCCTAGAAACTTGGACCAACGCTGCCGGCTATCCCGTTGTCAACGTTCGACGAAACTACCAAACCAAGGAGGTGATCGTTTCTCAACAGCGATTCTTTTCAAACAAGAAGGTGCCCAGCGATCATGTTTGGTACATTCCCTACAACATCGCCGATCAAAAAGATCAACAGTTCGACGTGAACCACTTCAACTGGCTAACTAAGAAGGCAGATCGTTTCTTCGTCGACACCGAGCCCGAACAGTGGATGATCTTCAATCGGCAACAGTTTGGATACTACCGTGTCAACTATGACAGCCGAAACTGGGAAATGCTTTCGTGGGCCATGATCCGTTACCCGGAAAGCATCCACCACTTCAATCGAGCTCAGCTGATCGATGATGCCTTCAATCTGGCTCGGGCAGATCTACTAGACTTCAACGTTGTCCTACGTCTTCTGACTTCCTTGACCAATGATCAAGACTACCTTCCGTGGGCAGCCGCAGACAAAGTTCTTCGTTATCTCCATGGCTTACTCCGCGGAACCGAACAGCAAGCTCGCTTCGATTACTTTGTCCACACGTTAATCGGTAACATCTATCCAACGCTGTCGATTGATTCCGTTGATTCTACCGAAACGTTGAAGACGAAATATTTAAAACAACTGATCTCCACATGGGCCTGTCAAGTCGGTTACATTGATTGTTTGGAGCGAACCCATGAAGCGTTGCAAGCAGCGGTTCACGATAACATCGAAGTACATCCGGATGTATCCACTGTAGTCTACTGCTACGGTGTACAGCGCGCTTCGGACGATGAATTCCTGTGGTTGTACAACCGTATGTCCAACTCGAAGAACGAAGCCGATCGCTCGTTGCTGATCGATGCGATGGGTTGCTCCCAGAACAAGGATCACCTGAGCTCCTACCTATCCACCTCTATCGGTACGATGTCGGAGATCACCTACTTCGAAGCCGAACGAACTAAGGTCCTGCAGGCGGTCTATTCGAACGATCGTACCGGCGTAGATGCATTGATCGACTATTTGAGCAATTCCGCTTTGGTGGACGACTTTGTCCGAATCCTAGGGCAATCGGCGCTGAACAGTGCGATCACTAACATTGCATCGCGCACGAATACGGAGGAGGAATTCGATCGACTGAAGAGATTGCTGCACGCGCTGGGATCGCTGGTTCCGGAGAATGTGCACAGTGCTGCCATGGTAACCGTCAAGGCTAAATTCGATTGGCACGATAGCCTGGAGGGAATGATCGTAACTGATTTTCTTGAGCAGTATGCTTGAAAGTTGATATCAACCTTAAAGTGTACCAAGTAAATTAGTCAAAATGAGCTACAACTAACATACCATTTGAGTTTTTTTTTAAGTCGTGTTCCCTTTTAATGATTTACGAGAATTCCAATATATGCGAATCATCCTATTTCGATTCTACAAATAATAACATCATAATGTGATATTTAGAGTCTGTTAATCTTCCAAAACGTTTCAGGATGGCAATAAAGCTGATATTACAGATGAAGAGTAGCCCCTATAGGTTTGAAGATCAGAATAAAGATAATACTAACTAGATTTGATTTTCATTCCTTGATAGAACATCAAATTGTACCGTATGTGTGATAATGTTTGCACCATTGAGCAATGTCAAAATTAAGAAAAATTCTCAAAAATTTCGTTTTCGACTTTTTTTATTTATTCAAAGGGGGATGTTTCTCAGATTCTTAAACTATGTTAATCATCGATCGAGTTTCCACTTGCTGCAATTACGGCCTCCACACGCTTCCGGAATGCACGGCAGGTTCTTATAATGTAGTCTGGATCCATTTCTCTCCAGATACGGGTCAATGTTTGTCTGAGGCTTGCTGTAATCGGGTGGTGTTTAGAACAGGCCTTGGCCTTCATGACGCGCCATATTGAGTAATCCAGCGGATTAAGATCGGGGCTGGATGGCGGCCACATATCCTTCGCCCAGAACGGAGGTGTGGCACGGAGCCCCATCTTGTTGAAATACAACATTTGGCTTCGGACCGTATTGTTCTTTGATCCACGGAAAAACATACGTACTTAAAATCCCGATGTAGACCTCCGTGTTGACCTTGTCGCCTTCTGGAATGAACACCGGGTCTATTGTTTTGCCATCGGAAGCCACCAATCCAAACACTATAACGCTAGCAGGATGCTTGGTCAGATACACGTTCTTATGCTCGTCGGCCACGTCTTTTACCGGAAGAGAATTAATATACCGGTCGGTTCTGGAATTTGATACGGGATCGACGGTAAACATGCTCTCGTCGGTGAACAGGATTACCGGATTTTTTCGCTTAAGGAAGTTCAAGATTTTCTTGCATCGTTCGACTCGTAGCTCCCGGATGCGGTTGGTAATCATGTGAGTTTTTTTTCCGTGCCCTCGACTTCGCCCCGCAATCTTCCTTTACGATCTTCCGTGCCGTGAAGTCACTGATCCCTTGTTCCTTTGCCATTTTCCTTATTCAACGCACTAGATTCACCCGAATCTTCCTTTTGATAGCAGCGATAACCCTCGGAACACGAGCTGACCTCGGACGACCTGTGGCCACCTTTGCGGATAGTTGTCCTTTCTTTTCTCGGTCTAAAAACCTTTTGACATTCCAGCGGGACACTCCCACGGCGATTGAAATGTCTTTTTGCGACATTTGCGAGTGGGACAAATCACGAATACGCTGCCACTTCGTCATGGTGCAACTGTCAAACTAAGTAAATAATTTTCTTTTATACACAGCCTACTACGGTATGAGCTATAGGTTACGTGCATGCAAAGAAAACCAAGGCATTGTATGCACAGGTGAAACGGGAACCTTATTTGTACGATAGTGCAAACATTATCACGCATACGGTATACTCGTTTTGTTATCAACAAGAAACATGTACATCAAATAGCAGAATTAGTTTTGATGTGACAGGAAGATTTTTTTGCTCATAGCTTTGATATTTTAACCGTTAAAACAACCAGAACGACAGCATCTTCTCAGTAATCATTATTAGCCACATCACAACATCAAATTTAGTTTTCAATTTGTTCTCAGACTTTGCTCGGGCTCCCCCTGTCCGGTCATACATTCTCCTTTACTACACACTTAGTGTTATTTGCCGAATCTCGGTAATTTCGGCACAACCGAGTAGATCGCCAATAAGTTTTAAAGAGATCTCAGCCAAAAGTGACGTTTGCTTGCTGAGATTTAGCGAAACATTTTCCGAGATTCAACAACTAAACATCACTTTTGCTGATATCTTAGTGAAACTTCGGCAGTGCCAAAACTATCGAGATTCGACCAACTTTTTTTTGTTTTATTAGAGACTTTCATCCTTGGGCTGGTTCGCCGCTAATAGGCAAAAAACTAAGTGTGTAGGACCTCAAATCGCCCTTTAATGTAGGCACGACATCTAATACGTGTCTTCAACTCTATTGTTATTTTTTTCTTCTTGTTTTTTTACTATCGTCCCTGTTGCCGATTTGAGCTACTTTAGTTAATTTGAGTGTAGAACATGGTTATCAGCACTGAGAATCAGTCAATACTGGTTCGCAGTGCTGATAAAAATCTTCTACACTCAAATTAGCTAAGAATGAAGGCAACCTTACTTCTACTACTACCTGCATAAATTTGAATTTTGACATGACAAAATTGTCTTGATCAAGGCAACCGGTGAGTTTCGAATCAACATTGTTTTTATTCATTCGTTCATTTTCGCCTGTGTTGTTGTCAATAGGTATCTATATTCGTCTTCAGCTTGGTGGGGATGATTTGAGTACCAAATGCAAAATGATAATGTATTATCATTTCACACAATTATAGCGCTGTAAAACGTGTTGTGTTGTTTTTCACTATTACCTCATCCTGAATTGATGATAATATCGAGGTTTTTGGCTCTGGGATCTATAATATTCAAAATAATCATTTTTCACAAATCGAACTTGATTTTTTTGTTATTGATCGCTTCGAAGTTTGACAATGTTGGGTTGGACACTGAAACATTGATGACTATCAACAAATGCACATTCGGCGATGTATGTAACTCATTGGTTAATTTCGCTCGTACGTGAAGCGAAGATTTTCAAAACAAACGCAATTCATCTACAGTGGATTGAAGCGTTAGTCATTGCTTGTGATGGTAAATGATAAAAACAGCCGCTGTTGGTTCGCCTTAAGTGCCAAAGCCGTCATTTCCATTAGTTGAATATTGAACACGTTCAAAGATAATTGACGAACCCCTCACAACAAATCACGTCTAGGATTGTATTCGAATGAATCTGTCACTCATTTCCGTAAATCTCCCGGTAAGACTCTGATAAGCGCAGACTGCTTTGTTTCAAATGATAACGCGCTCCGTATAGCGGCTGACTATCGTGACTAAAATAGACCAGAAATATTAATACTCACTTAGTATCATTAAGCTAATGGGCAGTTGAGGATGGCTTTTTTGAAAGCTTTATTGCTCCTGGTCTTGGGAGCCTTAACACTAGGATCAGCCGATCAATTCCCTTTAAACAAGGATTGCTCTATACCGAAAACCACATCCACAGCGGCATACCAAGATCCAGACGAGAACTATCGTCTCCCAAACAACACCGTCCCAACACATTATGCAATCCATCTGAAGACTACAGTTCACAAAGCCGATACGGACTTCCAGGGGAGTGTAGATATCCACCTCGATGTCAAGGAACCTACGAACAAAATTACCGTGCACAACCGTGCCTTGAACATCGTTTCGGCAACTCTGTACCGCGTTGAAGACGAAGAAATTTTCGAACTAGTGAATAGCTTCGATGAACGAACCGAGAAACTTACCTGCCAAAGTTTGTCAACTCTCACGATCGGAAGTTATGTCTTGACTATCGCTTACAACGGATCGCTGCAAACATACGGCACTATGGGTTTCTTGCGAAAGTCCTACCGCAATGGAGACAACGATCGTCGATACCTCGCAGCAACTCACTTCGAGCCTACAGGAGCCCGTATGGTGTTTCCCTGTTACGACGAGCCGGCGTTTAGAACGACCTTCAGCGTATCGATAACTCATCACTCGAGCTATAATGCAGTGTCCAACATGCCGCAGAATGGATCCGTAGTCGTGGATTTGAAAGATCCTAGCTTTGTTACTACCAGTTTCATGACATCTCTCAATATGTCGACTTACCTGTTGGCCTTTGTCGTATCGGACTTCGAAACACGATATTCAGGTCAACAGCAAATTCATGCAAAACCAAACGCCATCGACGATACCGAATTTGCACTAGACTCCGGAGTTCTAATTTTACAGAAGTTGAGCGAGTACACCGGAATTTCGTATTATGACTACCAACCGAAGATGGCCCAGATTGCCGTTCCCGAATGGTTCAGTGGAGCGATGGAGAATTGGGGTTTGGTAACCTACAGAGAAGCGGGTCTTTTGTTCAACGCAGATGTGAATACGTATCGTGTAAAGATCGAAGTCACTACGACGATTGCGCACGAATACACTCACCAGTGGTTCGGTAATCTGGTCGCTACCGATTGGTCGTACCTTTGGCTAAAGGAAGGTTTTGCCACCCTGTTCGGTTACTACGGAGCTCAGTTGGCATACACCAACGAGCAGTACATGGACCTGTTCCAGATCCAAAGTCTCCATCCGGCGTTGGCACAAGATTCCAAATATACAACGAGATCCATGAACTGGTACGCAAACACACCCGCAGACATTTCCAGACTTTTCGATGTTGTGGCTTACGAAAAGGGTATGTAAAATACAGTAAAGTAGATCTCGCATATTGTTAAACATTCGTCTTTCAACAGCCGCTAGCGTTTTGAACATGTTCCGTGCAGTCTTCGGAGACGGTAACTGGCAACGAGGTTTGAACGCGTACCTGCAGAAGCACGCACTTGGCGTCGCAACACCGGAAGATCTGTACGATGCACTTCAAAGCGCAGCCATTCATACAAGCTCGATGACAGTAAAACAGATCATGGAAACCTGGACCAATGCGGCTGGCTACCCTGTGCTCAACGTACGGCGAAACTATCAAACCAAAACGGTGATCATTTCCCAGGCTTGGTTCCTGTCGGATAGGAAGCTACCGACGGATCATGTATGGTACATTCCCTACAATGTTGCCGAACAAAAGCATGAAGATTTTGAGTTGAATAGCTTCAACTGGTTAACTAAGAAAGCAGATACTGTTCTCGTTAATGCCGAACCCGATCAGTGGATTATCTTCAATCGACAACAGTTTGGACTGTACCGTGTTAACTACGATACTCGAAACTGGGAACTAATCACTCATGCTATGATCATCAATCCGGAAAGTATCCATCCCTTCAACCGAGCGCAGCTGATCGACGATGCCTTCAATTTGGCTCGCGCTGATCTACTAGACTTCAACGTTGTGCTACGCCTGCTAACGGCCCTGACCTATGACTCGGATTACCTACCATGGGCCGCTGCAGACAAAGTTTTATCCTATGTGCACGGTAAGATCCGTGGAGCCGATCAACAAAATCAATTCGAGCACTATGTAAACAGGCTGATTGGTAACATCTTCCCTACGCTACGTATTGATTCCGTTGAGTCCGTCGAGACGGTGAAGGAGAAACACTTCAGACAAATGATCTCTACGTGGGCCTGCAGAATTGGTCGTTCCGACTGTCTAGACAAAGTACAGGCAACGTTCAAAGTAGCAGTGCACGATGGCATCAGCGTCCATCCGGATACTGCATCGGTAGTGTATAGCTATGGTGTACAACACGCTACGGATGACGAATTCCTGTGGCTATACAGACGGATGTTCAACTCGTTCAACGAAGCTGAACGCTCACTGATCATCAACGCGCTTGGCTACTCGCAGAGCAAGACTCAACTGAAGGCTTTCCTGACTTCGTCGATCGGTGCTGGTGTTGGTGTGGAGGTCAACTACAACGACATGGAACGTACTCAGGTTCTACAGGCCGTTTATTCGGCCAGTCGTGTCGGAGTTGATGCGTTGATTGACTTCCTAGACAATTGGGATATAGCCGACGACTTGATCTACTGGCTGGAGAAACGGGCATTCACCGATGCCATTGCAAACATAGCGATGAGAACGAATACTGAACAGCAATTTGATCGATTGAAGCAGTTGCTGAAGACGGTTGGTTCATTGGCCCAAAACCAGGTAGTCAACGCTGCCATGGCAACCGTCAAGGCTAACCTGGATTGGTATGATAGCTTGGAAGCGGTGATCGTTGCTCAGTTTCTTGAGAATTATGCGTAACGAATAAATTACTCGACATCTATGAATTATATTTCATACCCGAGCAAAGTCGGTTAACAAAATGAAAAGAAATCGATATTTAATTTTGCAGTTCCTATCATAATGAAAATCCATTTTGAATTCAATTGTCGCGACACAAGTCTGATGTCATATTGTGCCTGTATTATGCAATCAAGAGTTTTTTTTTAAGAAAGCAACTTCAAATTCTGCTGATAAAGTCTTCTCCTGGGTGACATTTGAACTCAAGTATTTCAGCGTGTGAAGCATGAAGGCCCGTATTTAGTTAAAAATTATGCATGCAAAATCAGTAATCAAATTGATTTCATTGAATGCTGGATTTTTTTCCGTTTCATTCAACAATGTAAAATTAGCGACTCAGGTGGTGTAGTGGTAAGCGTGATTGTCTCTCACCCCAAAGGGCCTGGGTTTAATCCCAGTCGTCACCGCCGGGATTTTCTGAGGCATAAAATATCTCTGATCACGCTTTCATTCGGAAGTTGGAAGTAAAGCCGTTGGTGCCCGGTCCATGCGTTGATGGGTCTATAAGTAGGATCCAGGTGTGGGAGCTGCCTTCCTGGTGTCGGTAGCATTGGCACTCAGCACGGAGAACAAGATCGACGGAAATCAAATAAAAAACAGTGTTAAATTCATCAGCTGGAGTGGAGTATTCAAAATAAGTCACAGCATAACAGCAAATTTTGATCTAAATTTGATCTCCAACTTTGCTCGGGTAACCTGTACCTAATTTCTGAATCCGGTCCATATCGAAGCATACGGTGTTATCTATCATGACTATGATTCATTTTGAAAAAAATAAGTTTTTTTTTACGAGTCAATACCGAAATACTGATAGCTTAGTTTATCTTGAGATAACACTCGAAAAAGTCTCATAAATTTGGGTTTAAATAAGCACATAATATGGATCGCGATTTAGTATCGGCTAAAAGGTGTTTCGCGAACGATGGCTTTGTTAAAAGGCGCATTGCTTCTAGTATCAGTGGTCATTGCAGTTTCCTTGGCAGAACGTCACGGTAATGTGCTGTTAAACGATATCTTATCTACTGCGGATGTAGATTCTGACGAGGGTTTCCGGCTTCCGAGGGACACCGTTCCCATCCACTACACAATTCGCCTGCGGACAGCGGTTCACGAAGGCGACAGGGACTTTCTCGGGAGCGTAGATATTCACCTCGATGTGGTGCAACCTACCGACAATATAACCGTCCACAACCGAGACCTTGAAATCACTTCAGCAGTACTCTTCAGCGTCAACGGGGAAGATTGGACTGAGATAGATCGACCGTCAAGCACTTATGACGAGCACACGGAACATCTGACCTTCCAGTGTGCATCTGGTCTTCTTCAAGTCGGCAACAATTACGCTCTGCGAATTACATATAATGGAAGACTGCAAACCGAAATGTCCAGTGGATTCTTCCGGAAATACTATCGCGACGAGAACAACATCCGGCGGTACATCGCGGCGACGCAGTTCGAACCGACTCGGGCCCGAATGGCATTTCCATGCTACGATGAACCTTCGTTGAAAGCGACCTTTACCGTATCGTTGATTCATCACTCGAGCTACAATGCCGTGTCCAACATGCCCCGTGAAGATCCTCTGGTGGTGGACACTCTCGATCCGGACTTTTTGGTGAGTACCTTTGCCGAGTCTCCGCGGATGTCGACTTACTTGGTGGCCTTTGCCGTAACGGATTTCGAGACGAGAACTTGGATTCATCAGGAGATCCATGCACGACCGAACGCCATTAACGATACGGAGTTTGCGCTCAGTGCGAGTGATAAAATCCTGTATGAGTTCAACAAACATCTGGACATCTCGTACTGGAATTATATGCCAAAATTAGCTCAGATTGCCATCCCGGACAGAGGTAGCGCAGCGATGGAGAACTGGGGCCTGGTGACCTACGGGTAAGTACCTGCTACTGCGCATATGAACTCGGAAGTATTTGAAGACTTCATTTCCTTGCGTTCAACAGTGAATCTGTTCTTCTGTTCGATCCGGATGTCAACACTTATCGAACCAAAGCGGACATTACTACGACTATCGCCCACGAAAATGCTCACCAGTGGTTCGGCAACTTGGTCACCAATGATTGGTGGAAGTACCTGTGGCTAAATGAGGGTTTTGCCACCCTGTACGGTTACTACGGAGCTCACCTAGCATACGCAGAAGAGCAGTACATGGACCTGTTCCAGTTACAGGTAGAGCAACTGGCTCTAATCTATGACGCCAGTGAAACAACGCGTCCGATGAACTGGAACGCAGAAACGCCTGCCGGGATCTCCAGCCTGTTCGATACCGTTGCTTATCAGAAATGTAAGTATGCGTCGTAAACATCATTGACATGCCGAACTGACGAATCGTTTCTCAACAGCCGCTAGCGTCATCAACATGCTCCGCATAATTCACGGAGAAGAAAACTTTCGAGATGGCTTGAAGAAGTACCTACTGAATCGCGAGCTAAGCACTGCTACGCCTGATGATTTGTATGAGGCATTACAAGAAACCTACTCTACATGGCGTCCTCTTCCGATTGATATGACAGTAAAACAGTTTATGGAAACCTGGACAAACGCACCCGGATATCCCGTGGTCAACGTTCGTCGAGTGTATGGTGGTACCCAAGACGCATTTATTTCTCAGGAACGTTTTCTGGCTGACAAGAAACTACCAGAAAGCCACGTCTGGTACATTCCCTACAACGGTCAGTATATTTCGTTTTTAAATATAACCGTATTCAGTTGGCTAACCGAGAAAGCTACAAAGCGCTTCCTTATGATTGGCGATGATGAACCACTCATCCTGAACCGAAATCTGAATTTTGGATTCTACCGAATTAACTACGACACTCGCAACTGGGAGTTGATCACGGCTGCATGGATTCAGTCTCCGGACAACATTGATCCAAACAACCGAGCTCAACTGATCGATGATGCCTTCGCCCTGGCCCGCGCTGACCTGCTCGACTTCAGCATCGTTTTACGTCTGCTCACCGGACTGAAAAACGATTTCTACTACCTTCCGTGGGCCTCGGCCGATAAGGTACTGACCTACCTGCATGACAGATTCCGTGGAACCAGTGAGTGGCACTTGTTCGAATTCTACGCCATCACATTGATCGACAACAGCTACCGAAACATACAGCAGTTCGATGTCATTGATCCTAACGAAACGCTGAAGCAGAAACACTTCAGAGAACAGATCCTTTCATGGGCATGCCGACTTAAGGATTTCGGGTGTTCGGAGAAAACCGAGCAAATGTTTAAGACAGCGGTAAGCAGCAACAGCGGAGTTCATCCGGACATCTCTTCGGTAGTGTACTGCTACGGAGTCCGATATGCTATGGATGAAGAATTCATTTGGCTGTATGAGCGTATGTTTAACTCGCACAATGAAGCCGAACGTGCATTGCTCATCAAAGCGCTGGGTTGTTCACAGAACAAGGCGCACCTAGACGCCTACCTGACTACGTCGATTGGCTCCGGTGTTGGAACGGAAGTAAACTACTTTGACCGAGAGCGTCTGCAAGTCCTAACTGCGGTCTACTCAGCCAGTCGAGTCGGAGTGGATGCGTTGATCGATTTCCTCAACAACTGGGACATGGCCGATGACTTCATCTACTGGTTGGAGCAGCCGGCGTTTGACAACGCAATCGCCAACATTGCTGCCCGAACTAATACCGAGGTGGAGTTGGATCGACTGAAGGAACTATTCCAAACGGTCGGATCATTGGCCCCGGAAAGCGTAGTCAACACTGCCATGGCAACTGTTAAGGCTAACCTCGATTGGCACGACAGTTTGGAAAGTTTTATCATTATCGATTTTTTCGAAAGATACATAAATGAGGCTTCTCCATCAAATAACCATGAAATGTAACTTATGAATGAACATAAACGAACCAGTAGCCAACACACAACAGATAAACTCTATACTGTGCATCCGAAAAGCCCTGCCACGAGTGCGTACCTGCCATACCATACAGATATTGGGTATATCTTATCAGGTGTTTGTTTTTAAGAGATTGTAAAATTGGCCAATAAATAGTCGCGAATGAGCGATGATGGATTTAGTTTAGTCGTTACTTTCTAGTTGTGCTAATCCCCCTCCGACTGAAGTGGGATGATTTTGAAGTGGGTTTTATTGTGTGCTTTGGTTCTGTCGGTTTCGGCCGATCGACCACAATGGCGCAAACTGGAAGGAGATTTGGAACCGGAGCCCGAAGTTGAGCTGTTTCAGGAAGTTAACGAAGCCTATCGACTTCCTAAGATATCCGTTCCCTCCCACTACAATCTCCATCTGTGGACGGCGATCCATGAGAACAACCGCCAGTTTCAAGGAACGGTTGAGATTTTCGTAAATGTGCTGGAATTGACAGATACCATTACCATTCTCAACCGTCAGCTGTCGATATGGAAGGTTACTCTGTACTCGGTTACCGAAGATGATCAGAGCCCGATCGAACTCGGAGCGCCCGAATACGCAACAGATTCTACAACGGAACACCTGTCAATCAAACACAGTTCAGCACTGCAGCCCGGAAGCTACATGGTCAAGGTCGAATACTATGGTGCTCTGCAGAACAACAATAACCAGGGCTTCTTTGCGTCGTCCTATCTGGATGACGATGGAAATCGTCATTACTTGGCGTCGAGCAAGTTCGAGCCAACTCACGCCAGATCCGCATTCCCGTGCTTCGATGAACCGAAACTCAAAGCCACTTTTACGCTCTCGATAACTCATCACAAGGAATACAACGCAGTCGCAAATATGCCTCAGGACGGAGCTCCAGTTCCAGACGTCGATGACCCCAATTACATTACAACCAAGTTCCAGAAATCGACCAAAATGTCCACCTATCTACTGGCTTTCGCCGTATCCAACTTCCGTATCCGGACCAGCGGTATCCATACTGTCTACGCTCGTCCGAACGTCTACGAAGAAACCGAATACCCGCTGCAGGCGGGCGTAGACATTCTAAACGCCCTGAGCGATTACACCGGTGTTGACTACATCAAGTACATGCCCAAGATGACGCAGATTGCCATCCCGGATCGCGGATCTGGTGCGATGGAAAATTGGGGTCTAGTCACGTACGGGTAAGTGAAATTTTCTCGATGAAGTAGCACATTTAGCTTATCTTCAGACGCCGGGGTGGTATTTCAAGTCCAATTGTCTTACCGATAAGAATGGCTTGAGCAAACAGCAGCCTATCTAACTGATGCGATCTTTTCTTATATTTCAGCGAGCCTGTCCTGTTATTCAATCCATCGATTAACACTTATCGCACGAAGAAGAGTGTCGCAACAATCATAGCACACGAGTTCTCTCACCAATGGTTTGGTAATTTGGTCAGCCCGGACTGGTGGGACTACATCTGGCTGAACGAAGGATTCGCCACGGTGTACGAATACTATGCTGCTCAGTTGGCCTATCCGGAAACTCACTACTGGGATCTGTGGAATGTTGAAGTGATTCATAATGCCTTCGCGGCGGATGCCCGCGAAACGGTCCGACCGATGACCTGGAATGCTGCCTCCCCGAGTGAGATTGCCGGACTGTTCGATACGGTAGCGTATGATAAATCGGGCAGTGTTCTGAACATGTTCCGCGTCGTCTTCCAAGATGACAACTGGAGGGAAGGCTTGGTGTCCTACTTCAACAACAGAGAGCTGGACGGAGCAATCGCCGACCATCTATACGAAGGACTGCAGCTTGCGGTAAATGGAAAGGACGTCCTGCCAAGATCGTTCAACGTCAAGGATGTGATGGATTCGTGGACAACCGTTGCGGGATTCCCAGTTTTAACAGTTAAGCGAGATTACAAAACTGGCGAGATCTATGTGTCCCAAGAACGATTCTACAGTGATCGGCAACTACCCAACGATCACGTTTATCACGTCCCGTACAACTACGCTACCAAGTCCGCGGCCAACTTTGACACTCTAACCTTCGAGTGGTTATCTACGAAGGCAGCTAAGCTAATGACTACGGCAGCTGCCGGTGACTGGATTATCTTCAACAAGCAACAAACCGGTTACTACCGAGTTAACTATGATGCGCAAAATTGGCAGTTGATCATCAACGCTCTCCAGGACAATCCTTCCACAATTCACGTGCAAAACCGTGCCCAGTTGATCAACGATGCCTACAATCTGGCTCGATCGGAACGTCTGGACCTGGCTGTACCTCTAGAGCTTATGACCTACCTTAGACAGGAAACTGCTTACCCACCATGGGCGGCTGCTAGCTCCGTCCTGACCTACTTCAATAACAAGATTCGTGGAACTCCAAAATACCACAACTTCATGAACTACACCACACACCTCGTGGAGACCATCTATTCTACCCTGTCGGTAGACTCCGTCTCCGAAAGCGAAACCGTGATGGACAAGTACCTCAAGCAAACCATCACTACGTGGGCCTGTCGTATCGGAAATCAGGACTGTCTAACCCGCACAGGAAATGCACTGAGACAAGCCGTCGAAAGCAACACTCCAATCCATCCGGACATTGCCAGTGTAGTCTATTGTTACGGTCTGCATACCACCACGAACAAAGAATTCGTGTGGATGTTCGAACGCCTGCTTGCTTCCAAGAACCAAGCCGAACGGGCACTTCTGATCGACTCGCTGGGCTGCTCTCAGAATAAGGAATTCCTCTATTCTTTCCTCATGACCTCGATTGGCAATGGAGCTACATTTAACTTTTTGGCAACCGAACGAACCCGCATCGTTTCATCTGTCTACTCTGCGTCGCGAGTTGGAGTCGATGCAACGATCGAGTTCTTAGCCGACGAAACCATGATCGACGAATTCATCAGTCGTCTGGGTCAAAGCACACTGAACAATGCCGTGTCGAACATTGCTTCCCGGACCAACAACGTCGTCGAGGAGGATCAACTTAATACCCTTTTGGCCGCACTGGGCGACAAAATCTCTGTCAACACGGCCAACTCCGCTAGAACCACGGTGGCGAACAACTTTGCCTGGTTCCACTCGTTGGAGGGACTCGTGGCGGACGAATTTTTCGGACACTACCTAAATTAAGACTCCTGTTCGACAGTGTAGGCTTTATTTTTCCTTCAGAATACACTAAACATTAGTACTAAAAACTTATCGAACTATAAAAAAAAATCAATGCAACTTGTATCTGCTTCTTTCCAAGAGCAACTGAGAAATTCCATCTCTCCCTCCTATCTAATATCTCTCTATTCAGCTAGTACAAAAGTCAGAACTAGAACCTAAAACCTAACCTAGATTCAAAAAAAAAAAAAAAAAAATCATAGCATTTTTTGCGATCTTCATCACTAGCAAAAAAAAAGTAAATTAGTTTTGGCAATTCCTAATCGGTTCGATTCGCTTGCTACTTTAACCCATCAGTTTTTGTTTCGTAACACGAACGAAAAAGAAGTTAAACAAGCGTAAATATTCTCTCTCACACTCTTTCACTCACACAACAACACGCGTAACAAGTTGAACGAGTGTCTTATTCTTCTTCTTTTTTTGTTTTGCTCCAAGTTAAGGGGGGATTCCAAATCCAGAGATCATATTCATTACTTTCATTCAATTCGACTTCTTGTTCTATACTGATATGATTCGAGTGAGGTTATGTTTTTTTTGTTGTTGTTAATATTGTAGTAGTTGAGGAAAAATCAAACTGAAAGTAGTGCATTGCATTGACGAATCAACTGGGTCTGTGTTAGGTTTTCTCTGCTGTGTATCCTCCCGGGGGCTGTCCATAAATGACGTAGGCGGTTTTTGACTCCAGCACCACCACAAAGCGATCGACATAGTTTATGAACAGCCCCCCATGTGTATGTATATTGACAATATATCGGCAAGAGGTTTTGACACTTCGGAATTGTTTCAGTGTAGGTCCACACAAACCGGCGATTGTGCTTTTCGTTAGGTAGATCATAAAATTGTGCTCTACTTTCAGAATGGCACCGAAGCAGTCAAAACTTATTACAAATATCCGTACGTAATATTGATTAGTAAAGAGTGTAATTCTAGAGTGAGCCATTAGTTGGTTTTCTGTCTTGTAAAAGACGTAGCACGATTACGTTTTATTTCAGTCACTGCCACTGACATATTTTGCCATGACACCGTTTGAAACAAATGTAAGAATTTCGCGCAGTTTTTGAAGATGAAGAAAATCGACGAATGGATCATGAGGTGATTTGAAAACCGCCTCTCTAGAATTATATTTCTGTCAGGTAAAAAACGGTGGCAAGTGGTCTCTATGTCTATTTCAAGTTTTTCCAGTACATGTCTTAAATCATCGGAAGTAGGGTATTGTTACTGTTGTTACTGTAGCATTAGTATCAGTAGCTGGTACAGGATAGTCTCTCTCTCCGCCGAACAGATGCACGTGCTATGCCGCCGCCGTCCATCCAGTGTCCTACTCTATTCCATGAGCAAATATCATGACCAGACCCGGTTCCACCATCACGTCCTCGGACATGTGCGTGTTGTCGCAGTGTAGCACGAGGACGGCTTGCTTTCCTAAAATTTTAACTATTTTATAATTTGACCTGCTGTATTTCATGTTGACTCCAGAATCGGTAAGAGCAGCTAAATCAAACCCTCAGTACAATCGCAGTTAAGCACGTTTAGGTTAATTCTATTGGAATGTATTTCAAACATAGCACAGTTCCAGACTTGAATCGACCTTCTCCGAATTGTATGAAACAATGCGTAATTGTTTGCTACGGGCAATGATTCACATTTTTTGTTAAAATTCGGCCATTTAGGATGTTGTAAAATTTTCAAAATGAAGGGTTTGAAAATTGTTTAAAGTTGTAGCACGGAAATAGCGAATATAGCGAACACCGACTCCTAGCTAGTGTAAGTATCTAGCTATCTGCCTAATATTTCGACACAAATCGGGTGCCGCACATGGCATAAATGTGTTAATACACACCACACGTGTTGAGAGCAATTCAAATGTGCGCATACTTTACGTTATGCGAGCTTAGAAACAAAATGGAAAACATACGAACATTGTGAAAAATTATCAGATCGTTTACTGGAGTATCCGCCGCTGCTGTTTTGTGTTTACAGTGCCATTGATTTTTGAAATTATAATCTTCTAGATATTTTGTGCTATTTGCTAAAACGCGTGCTTTAAATTGTGCGCTTGTAGATTTTGATGCAACGATGAACGGGATTTAAGAAATGTTCTTATTTTTGTAATTCGAAAAAAATGTCTATTCACGGTCAATTGGTAGGCTTTTGAACTTTTCCGGAATCATCCCCATAGTGTCCTCTGAACATTTCCCAAAATTAGTTTTAACAGGGATGCCATATTTGAAGACATTTTTTTTCGTAGACATTTTGAAGACATTTAATTTAAAGAAACTTTCAGCCTTGGGCTGAGACACTTCATGTTCTATGAAGATTTTTAAAGACATGTTGGAATTGAAGAAGACTTGCGAAAACTTTTATTGATTATGAATAATTTAAATAATCTTTTGGGAAAATATCTCGAGATTTTGCTGTGCCTGGGATCTTTTAAATATTTAAAATCTAGTGATTTTGTTTTTTTAGAACCAACATCTTGATTTAAAAGTTTGCTGTCCGACCTCAGATAAATTTCAAATGACCCTCATTCTTGGTTTTTGTTTTAAACCTGAGTCTTAAACAAAACTAAAATAAAAATAAATACATTAAATTTGGTGAGTACGAAACCTTGCAAATTCTGAATATTAAAAATATTTATAAGTCCGGAATTCGTCGAAACTCCAATGATCCAGAATCTTGTTTTTTAAGCCATGGATTTTAATAAAACGCTAAGTTCGCAATCTTCAAAATTTTCCTAAGCACGGAACCTTGAAATTGAATTACGTCCCAGAACCTTGAAAAAATGGTCCATGTATTGGATCTATAATAAAAAATGTTTCTAGTCCAAGAACTTTTCCCTGGATTTAAATAGTTGAAGTCTATGCCTTATAAAAAAATATCATTACAGTAACCCAGTATCTACCACTATTTCTCGGCTGTCCTTTAACCAATTGAGCTGATTTTCGGTAGATAACTAGTTTATAGTTGATACTAATCACATACACAAAAAACAGTGTAATTGGTTGAAGGACAGCCGAGAAACAGCGATGGGTGGACGGTTCCACCCACCGCATAAATGGAGGGATTGCTGTATTTAACTTTCCTACATGATTGGTGATATCATTATAGATTGTAATGCAGTTATGAATAAGGATAGAGAAATATTTCCCTGAAATTATGGAAAATTCCCTGAGTTTCCAGGTTTTCCCAGGTAATCGACACCCTGCTAAGGTACGTAAGTCTTATTTTGCTTAATTTTCTCTCTTTTCTGACACACACACACTCACATAACAGTGAATTGATTATCATTGATGCTTTAATGATGTGCACTACCGCAACTACCGTAAACATAGTTGTTAAGGTTCGTTATTATTAGGTCGAATGTGTATCAGCTATAACAGATCGTTGCTTTAAGCTAATATATTTCGATACCGCAATTGGAGGATTTCAACATTAATACTGTTGAAAACTGAAAAGCTACAAGCTGCCTACCTCAATCTGAAAAGATGGAGACATCCGTTGGTACCGAGGAGCTCATGAAGAATCAACTTTTGAGTGATTCTGTCTCAGAGGTGCACTCCTGTTCCTCTTCTATCCTCGATACTCCAAAACGCGACGACTTGAAAGACGGACGGATGTTAAGCGAGAGTGACGAAGATGTTGATGGAATAAACGTCACCATAAAGTCGGTTACAAAATGACAGCTAAATCTATTGTCTAACTGTCAAATTAACGTCAACGCAACGCAAATGGATCTAATATGGGTGGCCCTTTAGTGGGAGTGGAAGTAACCCTTCCACTGAAAGTGCGTCGAAAATCAAGTGGCGCAAAAATCGTTCGAAAACAAAAAGAAACAAAATTAAGAAATGCATTGAATCAGGGATGAGCATGGAGAAAGCTCGGAAACAAGTTTTTGCTAACGCTGTTTCTGGGACTCCAAACACTGCTAAGCGATCGACAGATGGCGATCAAGGTAGCAGTGGAGAAAAGCCGGACGTTAAGAGGACAAAGTCGAATCTTTGTCCAAAAGTGCGTGCTGGATTATCCAATACTGGCAATCAGGCAAAATCAATGAAGGAGGCTGACCAGAGTGAAGGAAAAGCTGATGGAAATGGAGGAGCTTCAGGATATCTCAAAAGTTCATCACTTGATTCTAACTCAGGTGGTCGCTCCTTCAAAGATGTTGCAAGTCTAGTTCAGATTGGAATAATCGTAAAAGGATACTCGGAACAACAAATGAACACAGCACAACTCGAGGCTGTACAGGATGCTCTGCTCTTGAAAATCGAGGAGCAAAGGCATGAGAATATAAAACCAAAGTTCACAAAATGCAGCTACAAGCAAGGTCATTTGTCCCTGGTTTGCAAGGATCAAACAACAGCGACGTGGCTAAAAGATGTGACAAAGGTACTCACCCCTTGGGAACATGCCGAGCTTATTGCCCTGGACGAGAAAGAGGTCCCTCATCCGGAAATATTCCACGCATTCTTCCCACTAAGTGCAGACCACTCATTGAGAGTCAAAATGATGGTTTAAGCACGAATATGGCTGGAAAATATTGAATCGCTCCAACGCAAACAACTCGGCATGTTAAATGTTGATGCAGATTCGCTAAAGACACTGTCGTACTGAACTTCCGATTTAGTGAAACGCCGCTAAGGAAAATCAAAACTCGAGTATAAAACGATGGGTCTATCGCTCGCCCCAAAGGCAAAGATGAGCGATCTAAGAAACAAAATGAAACCCTGCTGAACTTAATCCTGCAAGTGAACCTCCACCATGCAAAAGGTGCTTCTGCTGTATTGAGTCGGAGGTTCAAAAAGGAGGAGCCGGACATGGCGCTTATTCAAGAGCCATGGTCCAACAGAGAAAAATACAAGGAATTGAAATAAATGCATGTAAGTTATACTATGAAGAAAAGCAGACTTCACCTAGAAGTGCTATTCTGGTTAATAAAACATTGAAATCGTCGTAGTCATGGTTGAGGTACCAACCACCAAGGGAAAAAGGAGATTGTAGTTGCTTCGGCTTATTTTCCTGGTGATGCTCCTGAGGTACCTCCTCCGCCTCTAACTAAGATTTATAAGGCGAGTTTAAGATTAAACTACATTCCATCAAAATGGAGATTGGTAAGAGTTATATTCATACCGAAAAACGGGAGGCGTGATAAAACGCAGCCAAAAGCATTTAGGCCCATTAGTCTCTCATCAATTTTACTGAAGACTATGGAAAAGGTGTTGAATGACTTCATCAATTCAACTTACATGTTAACGCATCCAATATCTAATTTTCAGTTTGCGTATCAATATGGAAAATCAACAGTTACTGCTCTCCATACTTTGGTAGCTAAAATCGAAAAATCACTTTCAGTTAAAGAAATCACACTTTGTTGTTTTTTGGATATTGACAACGCATCCTATTCTTCTATGGTTGACGCCATGAAGAAAAGGACCTTCGACACGCACATCGTCAACTGGATTCATACTATGCTTGCAAAAAGAAAAGCCACTTCTGGGGTTGGGAAGCTCATCTATAACAGTAAAGGCAACGAAAGGCTGTCCTCAAGGAGGAGTCCTCTCACCACTAATGTGGTATTTAGTTGTAGATGATCTTCTAAGAAGCCTAGAGCCGAAAGGCTTCGAAGTTGTGGGCTTTGCGGATGATATAGTCATCGTAGTTAGAGGAAAGTTTGACGCTATCATTTCAGAAAGAATGCAACAGGCTCTAAAGTTTACCCAATCTTGGTGTATTAAGGATGGCCTAAACATTAATCCGTCAAAAGTAGTAATCGTTCCTTTTACTATAAAGAGGAAGTTCAAGCTTAGAGGAGAACATATCCATCTTAGTGAACAGGTCAAATACCTAGGAGTTATATTGGAATACTCAGATTGATTCTGTGATCAACAAAGCAACCAGTGCCCTGGGTTATGCTCCAAAACTGTTGGTAGAAAATGGGGTTTGAAAACAACAATGACAATGTGGATTTACACATCAGTACTCCGTCCAAAAGTAACTTATGCTTCGTTAGTGTGGTGGCCAAAAACGAAAGAGGCTACCGCTCAGAGGAAGCTAGCAAAACTACAACGTCTAGCATGTATTGCTATAACTGGTGCGATGCGCAGCACCCCATCAAAAGCGTTACATGCAATTCCTAATCTACTGCTCTTGCATGAATACGTGCAACTAGAAGCGGAAAGAAGTGCTCTAAGGCTCAAAAGGTCTAACAAAAGTCATGCCTGGTGACCTGGGGTCGCATTGTGCATCTCGAAACGTCTTTCGTTTCGAGATGCGCAATGCGGCCCCTGGTTGATCACCTAAGCATTTTACAATACTTCCAAAGAGGACCAGTGATGAGTATGAATGGAGACTAGATAAAACCAGAGGACTTCAACGTATGTGAAATGTTGCGTTCAGATTGGGAAGTCGGTGGTTCTAGCGTTCGTCAAGGATCAATC